AGCCCACAGTCAAAGCCCAAGCGTCCCAGCTCATAGGCCATAGCCCATAGCCCAATACACTCACCCTCAAAGTCCAAACAGAAGGAGTAAAAAGTAAAAACAGATTTACATTTGACACCCACAAACAAAGTTAAAAACCTGTAACAAAGTCACTCCGGAATCAACCCGCCGATCACCGAGTCTTGCTGGAGAACTCCCACCGAGTCTCCATCTCCAGCAACTCCCCCCAATCCACCTCCTCCACCGCCGTGTCTTCCTCCGCCTTCCGCCGTAGCATCTCCAACACCATCCTCGCCTTCTCCCTCGTCCCTTCTCTCCGCCCCCTTTCCGCCGCCGTCGCCAGAACCTCCTCCGCTCCCGCCGCCTTCGCCAGCCCCTTAAACCTCAACCCGCCCTGACACAGCCCGCACAACACCGTCACACAGCTCTCCTCAATCGACTCATCCGATTCCGATTCCAACTCCAACTCGCCCCTCAACCGACTCACCAAACACTCCACCCCGCCGCCGTCCAACATCGCTGCACGCCCGTCCACGCAGAACGCCAAGTTTCCCAATATCAACAGAACCCGACCCGCCATATGACCCGACTTCAAAATCCCCAACAGAACGCCCACCGACCCGACCCGCACCATCTTACTCCGATTGCTCTGAATCAGCGACAGGTGGTACAGCGCCAGAGCCGAGTCATCACGAGTCCGCTCGCTCCCGGACCGGAGCAAATTCAAGAGCGGCGGCAACGCCCCCAAAACGCCGATCGCCGTCTTGTTGTGATCGTCGAGCGCCAAGCTGAAAATCGCCCCGGCGGCATGATCCTGCGCCTCGGGATACCCACCCTTCAACACGTCAATCAACGGCGGGAGCAGCCCCGACCGTACAATCTTCACCTTGTTCTGCTTTTGCAATGATAAATTGACCAGAGAAGCGACGGCGTTCACCTGAACGTTCGTGTACCTGGACGAAATTAGGGTTCGCAAGGCGGAGAGAACCGCCGGAGTGCAGAGATTGACGGAATTCTCTTCTTTTGTCCGGGTCATGTTCCGGAGAGAAATTAATGCCTCTTCGATTTCGAACACTTGTGCGCTCTTCAGCTTGGCGAGGAGCGTTTCCTCCACCGGGTCGAGTACGGTTTCGTCGGGCTCCGATGAGGACGAAGCGGAGCGGGAGGAGTAGCATACGGGTCCGGTCGGTAATCGGAGCGGGAGCGACGAATCGGACGAGCCGGGGGAGCTGCTAATGGATTCCTCCGAGCTCGTTGAGACGCGAGTTTTTTGGGTTCCTTCCCCTGTTTCAATTGCTCTGTTCACCAAATCGGGATTCCCCTGTTCTGCAAATTGGGTTTCCCCTGTTTCAATTACTCCTCTGTTTTCTTTCAAATTGGAGTTCCCCTGTTTCTTCAAGTGCTCCATTTTGGCCCTCGCGATGGATTCCGCCGTTGAATAATCGAGAGGTTTCGGGTGGCTTATGGAGTGGGTATTGCACCAGTTGAGGATAGCGGATTTGAGAGCGAGATTGGGGATTGCGACGTTGGAGAAATTAGGGGCGAAGGAGGTGTTGTCGTCGCCGCCGGGGAGAACAGGGGAGAAGCCAAGTGAGTGGCAGGCTTGAAGGCAGGCTCGGTCGAAGGAGTGACCGGAGGAAACAATGACCGGGTCGGTCATCAGTGACCCGGAAATGGGACAGAGAAACTCCGTTGGATGGACAACGCCGGAGGGGGAGGTTTCGGGGAGAATTGGCTTGGAGTTGGAGGATGGTGATGCGGCCCAAGAAAGGGACCGGCGGGAGGAGAAGATGCTCCATCGCTGCTTGTGTACAGTGAGCTTCTGCTTCGCTCTCTGCTCGTCGTCGATCATGGAGGAGCAAGTGGGACACAACGAATACAGAAAGGGAGGGAGGGAGCCTCTGTCTGATGAGGGAATTTTTTTAGAATCTTTAGATGTTCTAGCTGTGGAGAATCATCTTCCCTAAAATGATCAATGGAGCCATGGAGGTAGATAGAGCCTTTTCTGAATTAGGGTTTCATATTTTTATCGTTGCTCTTTATCTTTTCTTTTGCACAACTTGTTGTAATTAACTGCATGCTGCATGTGGCCATTCGTGCAAGTTATATTAAACTCAACGTGGTTAGAAATTTTAACTCCTTGTTTTTGCATGGATTATACACAACTACTTACATATAAATATATAGTACTTTTTCCAAAATTCCAAATGAGAAAGGAAGAGGATTACATATACTAAAACTAAGGCTAATTAATAAAAATGGTCACATGGACAATGCGTTAGAAATGGTAATTACGAAATGTAACAAAAATGCCATATAAGTATCATGATATACAAAAATTGTCATTTCTTTACTTTTTAGCCATATTTCATATAGAATAACCATTTAGCTTGTTGACATAGTGCAAAATTAATAAAATAAACATCTGACACTTATACAGATAGTAAATTTACTTCTTATCTAGAGGAAGCTAACTGACCATTTTGAATGTGAATATGGATAGAAAGACATGAAATAGTAGTTTCGTTATTTCATAATACATGTATGACCTTTTTGTTATGTTTTAAGTATTTATGACCATTTTATTACATACACAAACCTATGTGACCATTTTTATCAACTATCCCTAAAACTAATAACGTTCCACAAGCAGGATCATTTTTCAATAAACGAGAACTTTGCATGGCAATGATCTTTGGTTGTGTCCAAGTTAAATCTCCCTCTACATATTAATGAATATCTATTATAAGTAGCAGTTAACACGAGTACATATCTTTGTTGATATCTAGTCCATCAAAGAGACTACACAAAAATAACCGTACTGCGTCAACATTCAAATAAGGAACTTACAAAATTGAAATCCCACCTTGTTACTACCTCCACCATTTGGTGGTTTGATATTTTTAGATACAAATATGAAATAACATGTATATCAAATTCACGAATAAACAGAATTTAATGCGTTATCATAATGTTATAAACCAGCCTATCAATAATCATTGCATATAATCTTTAGGGATATCCAAATGAGCAAGAGGACTAAGAAAGCAAAGGAAAGACTGGACATGGAAATATATGGATGCAATTATTTGATTGAGATTCCACAGACAACAAAGCTCACAACAACACAACAAAAATTCACACTTTTGTTCTGTATGTGCGGTTGTCAAAGACCAAGAAATCAAGGGAAAGCTTAATTGATGTGAGACTTTACCCTTAATTAAGTTTTGGTTTAACTAAACTAATTAAGCTTGCTTTATTTATATTCCCTGACTTTTAACCAGAAGCTTCTTCCTTACCATCTCTGCAGTCTGGAGCTATTTGCTAATCTCTCTTCATCACCATCATCTGCTTTTTCTTCCCCATCCCCACGACTTTAGTATCTTGGAAAGATGGAAACTTTAGCATTTGGTTTGCTTATTATAATCTTTGCATTACAACCAATCTCCGCTAGCTACTGTAGCCCTTTTCCCAATTCACCAAAAGGCTGAGGTGAGACACAAATGAAAGGGGGGAAAAGGAACAGTAGACATGATAAATGTTGAAACCTGAAACCTCCATTGGGAAAAGTTCAAGTTATGGTCAAGCAACAGACAAAGCACAAAGCTCAAATCATTTCATTTTAGACAATACTTGGGAACTTTTCTTAAGCTGAATTGTGAATTTCAACTTTACTCTTGCTTTGTTAGTGTCAATGTCAAGCCCATCCTTTTGGTATGATCCTAGTAAACTATCAGTAAACCCGATGATCCTTTTTATTAGATTATTAGTATGTAAACTCATTCTATGATAACCACTCTACCCCTTTATGACATTGTTCTTCTTGTTTCATTCTTGTACCAATAAAATGGTTGTTATAATGTAATGGGCACTCTACAAAGTAAGAAAGTGAATGAACATAGAGAATTATTTGTATGATTCGCTAATACGATGTGCGTTAACTAGTCCATGGGAAGAATCGATTTCACTATTTTGAGGAGTGTAGGAGATTACTACAGTGTAGAGGAGTTTTATAAAACACTTTCCCCAAACATTACCAAATGACTCTCAATCATTATAAGCACATTAAAGTCATGTCAACAATGATTTGTGTACCTCATGTATTTATAATTTGATGTTGCACGAACCCTTAAAAGTCTTGCCTACAAAATACCCATCGAAAACTCAATTTTCTAGACTACATATGTACCAAATTACTTCTTACGCAGAAAAATGATATAATTCTAATTTACACTTCTAAAAAATAGAACTGATAATTGAGACTTTAGAGATATGGCAACGACCCATTTGAGGAGGAGAATAGGAAGGGAAGATTAAAAGTTGGATGGGGATAACGACACTTCTCATGGATAGTAGCTAAACCCTCCCCACCCACTTCCCTTTTCTCTTCTCTATCATTCCTTTCCCCTCCTTTTTCATAAAATAAAATACAGTACCTTACATACATTTATATTTTTAAAAAAGCAAAATTTCCACTTAGGTTGGACTCCTTTAGTCTTTACTAGTGTTTTCTAGGCTGGCCAAATCATAGTTAGTAAATACTCCGTTTAATACACGTATATGTACCCGTACGTACTTTATCCGTTTAAAACTTCCGTATCCGTATTATTGTCAAGCCGTTTCATTTTCCCCCGTTCATTTCATGGTTCCCGTACTAAACACGTATAAAACCCGTATAACACGTTTATTATCCGTATTTTACGAATTAAATTGTTAACTTTACTATTATTTATATATTTATTTATTTTTAAAATGATTAATTTTATATATTTATGACTATTAACGTACTATTAAACGTAATTTTAGCTTAAAGATGAAGTATAATGCCCGTACGTATCTTTTACGTAACTTTCCCGTACCGTATTTTACTAACTATGGGCCAAATATATTGCTCTCCACCAAAAGAAACGTCAAGTTAGATTATAGAAGATGGATGTATATAAATCAAGTTAGATTTTAGAAGATTGCCAGCCCAAACTCTTAATGAGCTAGGCCGATCGAAGCCCAGCCCACTTCTAATTACCAAAAAATTTCCTTCCTGTTGTCAGCAATGACGCGCTAACCATCATCACGCGCTCCGGGGAAGCGCGTCGTTTCCCGCCAGAAACTTCCCTCCATGCTTGGCGGCTTCATTTCCGCTTCAACCTTTGTTGTTTTAAAAAGGAAAAAGAAAAGGAAAAACATTTCCAAAAATCTGGAAACCAAAATCCGCAAAAGGAACAGAAAAGAACAGTCAAGGTTTCAGGTCGGCACGGCAGGGGCTGGCTGGATTTCCTGGCTTACGCCCCAAGCCAGCTTCTTCCCAGTTCCCACAATTATAAATATTCCCCTTCCCCTTCCCCTTCCCCGTTCCCATCACCTTATCCTGCAATCTCCTCGATTCTCCTGCAAGAAATCAACGAATCAGAGGTATAACAACTAAATAGCAGCAGTTTCGATCGAATCAAACCAATAATGTCAGGAGGAACAGAAGCTTTCCCGGATTTGGGCAGGCACTGCCAGCACAAGGAATGCAACCAGCTCGACTTCCTGCCTTTTAAATGCCAGGGCTGCCAACAGGTAGCAAATTTACAATCCAATCCAATCCAAACCCAATTCCTTTCCCTTTTTCTCCATTGCTGAATGAATTCCGGATTCTGGGTTCGTTTCAGGTTTTCTGCTTGGAGCACAGATCGTACAGGGCTCACGCATGCCCGAAATCCGACCACAACAGCCGCAAAGTCGTGGTCTGCGAGATTTGCTCCACCTCCATAGAGACTACGGGCCATGGGGAGTTGGCCGAAAAGGCGTTGCTGGAGAGGCACGAGAAGTCGGGGCAATGCGATCCAAGGAAGAAGAAGAAGCCCACGTGTGGCGTTCGTCGGTGCAAGGAGATACTGACCTTTTCCAATACCTGCGTCTGCAAAACCTGCCAGATGAAGGTTTGCTTGAGCCACAGGTTTCCAGCGGATCATCAGTGTAAGAAGGATTTGGCTCCTGCTCCTGCTGCCGCAGCTGCAAATGGTGTGAGCAGGTTCCTGCTTGCTTTTGCTTCGAGGAATGCCGAAGACTGTGCCAAGAATGATAACCAACGGTCTTCTTCAAGTTCGAGGGCACCGTCTATTAGATCACATTGAGAGGCTTTAGGGATGGTATGTGCATGTTACCTGATTGTTTGTTTGTTGCTAGCCAGAAGTTTGCGATGTCTCTGTACAAAGGCAAACTTTTTACAAACAAATGGAGGAATGAATGAGAAACAATATGTTAATTTCATGAACACTTGATCAAGTTCCTAGTGCGCCATATACATTCGTATTTGATATTCATTTCGTTACACGTCAATCTTCCACCCCCTTTTCAGTGATCATATGATCTACAATCTCTCCACCGTCTAAAGGGATCTATTAATACAATTACAACCTTCAAAAACAAAACAAGGAGCACCTTCGTGTGACGTTTGTGAGAGCAGGCAGCACATTGACAAAATCATGACTTTTTTGGAGGAGGCAGTAGAGCAAGAAGGATCTTCTTTCTTGGACCCTGCAAAAGAACCCGAAAACTGTCAATGTTTTGAACTGGCTGGGTCAAGCAACAACAACAGCATTCTTGTACGTTTGGTGTGAATTGAAATGCCTTAATCTGGATAAGGATTTTTATATAAGTAATGACTATGCAAAACCTACCACCATGGAATCCTATTCTTAACTATTTTCTCGTAAGTTGGCAACAGTTGACAGAAGATGATTGTCCTCAACCAGTTGGTTCGATTACATTAACGAAGTCAGCAACACAAGAGTTAAAACTTGTTGAGCATATTGATCTAAAACTGTAATACAGCCTATAGTGAGAGAGAAGCATTACCATCGGTATGCCCATATCTTTAAGATCTTTCTCCCCCATCTGCTTCAGTACAGCCATGTCCACCTGTTAGACAAAGCAATTACCAAAGTATCAGGAGAACATCCACATAATCAAGAACACCCGGAAAAAGAAAAAAACAGAAAGAAAGAAGGAAGAATCATGCCCAGACACAGAATTATAATACAGGCTATGCCATAGATTATTTTGTGGCAGCATATTTGGGTCACAGATTACTGATAGCGAACAACCCAAGCAACCTAAAAGGCGAGCCCAGTATCCGACAGAAACTCTAAGCAACAAAAAATTAAGTAATGACACTTACTTCTTCTGCCTGAAAGCTGATGCAATATTTCCCCAGTTCAAGTGAATGCAAGAAATCCGCCACAGTAACATGTTCATGAAGCTGCATAAAGGCACTAATTATAAACCAAGATAGTGGATCAAACCTTAAGGTCGAAGATCTGTAATATGTAACTTATACATATTATAAATAGTAATTACTAATTACCTTCTGAGAGATATGTTGCGTAGTTCCTAATGTATGTGCAACTCGTGGAACAGCAGCACAGCTTGTTTGAGGAGGAGCATGTTTCACTGGTATAAGAGGTGAAGATCCAGTTAACCAAGACCTAGGCGGCGGCGCATTCTGAACACCAACATTCCGGATCAAATTTTCGCTGCTTGATAAATCACCTGCCCGAAGTGGCGCAATTCGTTGTGCCTGGCTGGAAATTCTGGGTGGGGAGAGCTCACGAGTAGGTCTGGATATTCTATCGGGGGACCTTGCTCTTCTTGATCCTCCCACAGTGAACTGAGAAGAGTAGGTTATCCCATTCCCACTAGCATATTCTTCAGGATAAGTTGGCGGCCTCAAATCGTTATATTGACTACTGGAAGAAGGCCTGCTCGGGGTTCTATAACTCATAGGGGCTTCACTGGATCTTGATGATGTTGGATGTACTGCAATTTTCTGGGAGTATTTCCCAGCATCGTGAGATCTCTTCAATTGCCTTTTACGAATGAGCTTCAAGCGGAGATCATTACTAGCGATTCGAGATCCTTCATGCATTTCAGCCCACTAGAGTAAGTAAGTGAACAAGAACAAGCATAAATGAATCAATGCATATTAGCGCATAGAAAACTTTGAATGTTACCTTTCTCACCAGCGAGACCAGGGCTCCATTTCATGCGATCTCCTCGATGCCTAGAGAATAAGTTCAAGCTATGATTATTGGACAATGCTAAACTTCGTATTGAGCAACGGAAACAACTAATGCTCAAACTATGAAAGTGTTATGACAGGATCAATGTATGATCTCAATCACTGCCGTGACAATGAGTTAATATTGGGTATCTTCCAACTAACTCTGCATTCATAGAGTTCAGATTTCTTGTATCACAGGAAGGCAATCGAGACCCTATATAACACTTTCTCTATCCAGCCTCGCACTAAAACAAAGTACCCTATAGAGCCCTTTGGCTCTTTTTGCTCGAAACTAATTCAAAGTTACCGAGTAATTGAAGAAGACAAAAGGGCCACACAAGTTACAAGCTACGAGAAGGGAGGATCCAAATTGCACAGAGAGAGAGAGAAAGAGTGACAGACCGTTTGCTGGAAGACATCCATGACCCTTCCCCTGAAGGCTGTTTACCTTCCTTAGTCACCACCTGAAACAAAACAAAAAAAAACAAAAAAAAAAATTCAGAACACCCCACTTGAACACCAAACACGAGATTACTCAAATGAAGCTATTATAGTGTGTACAAAGCAGAATTGCAGAAACCCAATTGCATAGAGAGAGGGCGGAAGCAATATAGGTTACAAAACGAAGAAGAAGCAGGGGGCCGAAGAGAAAAGGAGGTTGGTTACCTGACCAGAGCGGCCGAGAGTGATGGTGACCCTTGGGTTGGAGGACATAACTTTTAGGTCCCTCTCTCCCGGCGAAAGTAGAAGAAGATCAAATCAAGCTAGGAAGTGACGAAGATACACAAATCGCAGTGCCTCTCTGCGTCGATGGATAGAACTGCAGCACAGAGAAGAGACTGGTGGAAGAAGGAAGGAGGGAGAGCTGAAAAAGGAGGAAATTATATAGCGGGGCTCCGATGTCGGAGTTGTCTGCCGTTCGTCGCAAGGGCATAACCAGAGAGGCGAATCGTAAGTTCTGCTTTGTTTGTCTGTATGCAAGTCGAGCGTGGGCTGGGCCCTGAGCCTTGCTTGCTAATGCTATTCCATTGGTAGATAATATATTCTTAAGGGCCAAATTGATTTCAAGAGAACAGGGTCCAGCCCGTAGCAATGTGTTTAGACCGGCCTTTTCACATATATATATAAGTATCATACTATCATGGTTAGTGGTTACCAGTTATTGAAAACCCAAACCGGAGATCATATCATATTAGTTTTTTTTTTTTTAACATAGACAAAACGAATAATCGTTCCGTCACATAGTCAGAGAACAGATAACAACCACGCGCGGAAGTCGACAACTCGTCGAACTTCCGATGAAAGGGCCTGTTTTGCCACAAAATGGGCAGCCCTGTTAAACCTGCGAGAAGCAAAAGAACAAGTACAGAACTCGAAACCCCTTGCTAGCCTGTGAACATCCTCGAGGAGGGCTCCTCCCGTAGCATGGTTACGCTCTCCAGCAAGCAACCGCCGAACCACCAGTTGAGAATCACCGAAGAAGTTAATATGCAAAAAGCCGTGTGTTAGACACCAGTTCATTGCATCCCGTAAGGCCAAAAGCTCCATCAAGAACGGATCATGAATTCCTTCATAGAACTTACCGAGCGCGAACAGTAAGGAACCATTCTGATCAAAGCCTACAAATCCCGAACTCCCCCCAGAGGATCGTTTGGTTGCCCCATCAAAGCGGACAGTAATGGCCAGCTCGCGTCCCTGGACTTCCGCACCTGACCTGCAAAAAAGCACCCCAGAATTCGATGCTGCAGTAGCTTGCTGATCAGCGTTTCCAGCACTAGGGCCCCCGCGCGGCGACGGAGAATTAGAGGTGGCCGCCCTCCATTCCTCTACCTGTGCCTTATACTGTTGGAGAAGTGCTGGGGCAAGATACTGAATGCCTCCATTCCTCTACCTGTGCCTTATATGTCGACATTGAGATGTGTCTTTCTCAATTACGGCAGCTGAGCCACCACGGATTCGTTGATCAGCGGCTCCCCAGGGAGCGGTGGCAACAATACTTCTCTCTTCAGCTCCTCCCGCAGTTTGTTCATGGCTCCCCTGTTCCGAACTAGCTCCGTCATCGCCCATTCTATCGTCAGGGCCGTAGTGTCGGTTCCGGCCTAGCCTTTTCATTATGTAGTTATGACTTTCATCTCTGGTCAAAGGCAATTAATCAACTAGCTAACTAGACAGAGTGATGGGATGTAACTCTAGAGAACCATGAGTATTGATAAGTTGATGTACATTGTCATTAAATGTAAGCCTAATTACCTAACATACCATTGACTTTCTGCTCAAATATAAAAAATAATTAACGAAAGTTGGCAAGTGGAAATAAAAGTAAGCGCTACCAATTCATGCATGTAGGGCTATATATATGGGCATGCATTCTATAGGTGCATACTATATATATAAGCGTTTGCTTGTGGGATTTGGGAAGTAAGAAATCATCCCGACCACCACGTTAAAAGGGAAAAAATGGAAGTCTCAGTGATATCAACAGAGAACATCAAGCCAGCATGGTCAGCAGGGAGTGAGCATGAATTCAAACCATATAAACTATCCCTACTTGACCAGCTCATGTTCTCCACTCATTCTCCTATCATTCTCTTCTACCCCATGAAGGATGGCAATGACCAGAAATCGATAGCTAGACGCCTGAAATCCTCCTTGTCAAAGACCTTGAATCGCTACTATCCTATAGCTGGGAGAGTGAAAGACAACCTCATCATCCACGACTTCGAACGGGGCGTCCCCTTCACCGAAGCACGAGTGAAGGGACACCGTCTGTCCGATCTCCTGTCCTCGCCGCATGGAGGGCCCAGGTTGGAATTCCTGAACAATATGCTTCCGTTCGAGCCATTTTGTTACCACGAGGATGCAACCGAATTTGCACAGCTGGATGTGCAACTCAACACATTTGACTGTGGTGGGATCGCAATCGGGTTGAACATGCACCACAAGCTCATGGACGGGGCGACCGCCAGTGCATTCTTCCACACTTGGGCTGCCAATTGCAACGGCAGCAGTACTCCGTCTGCATGGCTGGAAAGACAGCCGGAGCTGTGTAAATCGTCGTCCGTTTTCCATCCACGCGAATCAATCGCTCTGGAGTACCACTCGTTTATGAAAGACATGTACTTTCAGGATGTTCATCGCCGAAGACAGAAGGGAGTGTCCAGGAGATTCGTGTTTGATAACGAAGCAATAGCCACGCTGAGAACAATGGCGAGGAGCAGCAGGGTTGTGGATCCAACTCGCCTTGAAGCTCTGTCTGCTTTCATATGGGAATCCGCCCTCAAGGCTGTTTCCGCGGCTGGTCGGCCGCCGCAGCAGCTGCAGTGTTTCTCACAGGCTGTTAATCTGAGGCCGCTAATGAGCTCACGCTTGTCGAGATACTCCATTGGAAACCTTGTGACCAACACAATGACATCCTGCAAGAATGGAAACAAGCCGATGAAGGAGCTGGTGGGTCTCATAAGAGAGGGAGTCGAGAGAATCGATGAGAAGTACGTGGACAACTTTTACAACAGTGATGAAGACAGGTACATGGCCAAGCTTGAGCGCCATAAGGCAGTGGGAGGGATTAGTGGAGGAGGATGTGGTGGGCAAGTTTTGACTTGCTCAAGTTGGATTGGGTTCGGTTCAAACAACTTTGACTTCGGTTGGGGGAAGCCGGTCCGGTCCGGTTTATTTGGAGACCCTAGCGGAAATCATCCTTGTATCAACAACTGCATTGTTTTCAAGGAAGTAGCTCCAAGAGGGCGTGGGAACTCGAAAGCCATAGAGGCATGGATAAGGTTAGATGAAGATGTCATGGCTTTTCTTGAACATGATCCTCACTTCTTTCAATATGCTTCCCCAAATCCACCCATCATCCTCAACTAATTATAATTACCTGCTGTACTCTAATTAGTTGATTATCAAACTACCGCCTACCGGTGATTAGTGAATCGACACATGATCACTGTATGGATGTATCATCTTATGGCTTATCTTTAATAATTAATGTCTTATGGGTGATTACGGTATTGAATTGAATGCAAAGGTTAACGAACGCTGTACGGATGTGTTCATACTTGATTTTTGTACTTCAATATATTTCGTTGAATCAGCAGTGTTGTTAAAGCCGATCCGAGCAGGCCGGTCGGACCGGTAAAATCGACACCCGGATGCCAGCCCGACTCGGAACACCATAAGAGGCACAACAGTCAGAAAAGGCGGTTAATAAGCGATCTGAACGACTAATCGTTCGAACCATTCAAACCGACCAACCGGTTCTTATTCCAACCATCCAATTAAAGGAACACAGGGGACGCGCGTGGGGTTGGGAAATTGCACTCATCAATTCCTCCTTCCCTTTTCCCGACTCAAAGCCCAAAGGCCAACTCTTTCTGTTGGAAGCTGTGTATAACAATAAATTACTAGTGCCAAGGTTGTCAACCCGCGGGTTGACCCGGACCCGGTCGAGCTAGTGGGTCAAGGGTTAATGGGTCAACCGTTTTAGTCCGGTTTGGCCCGGAAATATAGAAAGAGTCATTATATTGTACTTATCCTCATAAATTATATCAAATCTTATCTAACATATGAGTTATAACATATAAGATTACACCAAAATAACATATCGTACTTAGATCCAACATATAGTGAAAATTCACACACACTTATATAACATAAATGTTCAAATGTTCAACTTAGTATTCCAAAGATTGAGTTGGGCGAAAAGAAAAATTGGAAAATAGGCGCATTTCGCAAACTAAAGAAAAAATGACACAATTTGACCTCCAACCCGGTACCTTATAGCGGTCGGCCCGGCGGGTGCGTGCGACCCGTTTTTCTCACCGGGTCAGGGTCAAATTGGGTCGACCCGTGGGTCAACCCGCGGGTTGACAACCTTGACTAGTGCATTTTCGTTTTTGTTGTTGTTTCTAATTGTAATTATTAGGGCTGCACAGGCCAACTCTTCTTTCTTGAATATACTTCATTGTGGTACTATTAATTAAGTATTAACAATTTTTTTCTGACATGCATGGTGCGATTCACATACTGTTTAGGTTCAAATAATAGAATCGCTCCACTTTATATTTATAATAAAAAAGCTTTTCAACATTGTAAAAGAAGAGAGATATATGAGGTTATTTATGCATCTTGAGACTTCAAGTGACAACCAGGTATAGTTGATCTTTCCTTTTTCCATGCATTTTCGCAAAATGAAAGGTGATTTCCGATACGATATCTGCCACTATTGGGATGTATTTATTTTTGTGGTAGTAGATCTGACCACCTCTGCTTTCAAACCGCTGGCGTATAGCCAATTTTCTTTGTAGTGACTGAAGTTTCGTTTGATGAACTAAGATACGAATCCGCTCTATCATTCAATGTTCACCAAGAAAAAATCATTCGTCAAATTCATTATTGTCTGAGCCTAGTTAGTTCAGACAATAATATATGAAGGCCAGCAAACATCAAAGAAAGGAAAATGATAGACTTTTTCAGAATGATTGTAAATTATTATATCATCAGTTTTTATTATTGACTAGTGTGATGCATGCACATATTCTCTCCAATAAGCCGCCCAAGATCATATATTATTAAAAAACGATAGACAGTTAAATAGACACGGGTTCCACCAAAGTACTGGTGATCACTTCTTTCATGAAGGTCTTGGCATTTGTGTAAGTGTCTTCGTCTTTATACAACAAGTCCATGACTCGCACCAGGTTGATTATGGCCGTCAGAACTGGCAACGGAGCCTTCAAAGGTTGCAAGATATCTTCATTCACGTCTTTCCACAAAATCTCCACCAAGTTGTTCAAGCCCACATGTGCCTCTTGTTTTGACACACCATATTGTTTCATGTAACACTCCACGGCCGAAGCAACATGACCCCTCTCTTGCTCGAACTTTCCAAGATATGACGATAGCGGAATAACATTAATCGTTATTAGATGGTATCAACATATATATCGATGCACACGTCAATATTATACATGTCACACAAGCAGAAAAGTTAAAAAGGGATCGATGGGTCAGTTATATATCTATATACCTCGTGAGAGACTATGTCGTCCATGAGCCTGACAATGCTAGAACCGGCCACAACAATATTAGGGTTTGGTTGATTGAACAGCCATTGGAAGACCTCTTCTGAAGCAGCTTCCCCCATCCCACAACAAAGAATTGTCATACCTAGGGGATAACCCACGCTCACATAACCATTAGGCACATATTCTTCCATTGTTGGTATGTAACCTTTGTTGTACCACCTTGCTTCCTTGATGTATGTTCTCACCAACTCTTTCACCTGTAATTCATATATACTTAGTAGTTTTTTTTTGGGGGGCGAGGGGGTGAATTGGTGCCTTTTTGTAGTGAATTGATTAAGCAAATAGCAATTACCCCTCTCCTTGCATACACCATACAAAAGGACCTGCCTTCCTTTGATACATGAGCTTCTATGTCAGCAAACAGGTCAAGCAATGTCTTGAACCAAAACTTGAAATAGTTCGGCACCACATCTTCATCACTGATCCCCCACCTGATGAAGCATTCATTTAACAATATGAAGTGATTACTATATTGTAAGGGAATACAAATGATAATAAAGGATGTATATAGTAACGAATTATCAACCTCTCAATGACATTGACGATGGACTCGAGTTCATCAAGAGTGCCGTGGACATCGAAGATATCATCTAGGATGGAGACAAGTGCAGTAATTTTGGCAAGGAATATTCTTCCGGTGGTATGATCTGGCTCTACAAGTGGTCCGAGGGCCCATAGGTAACACTCTATCATTCTGTCTCGCGCAAATGGAAGCGTATTCGACGTATCCAAATCCATCCACCATCTATATCATTATGAATATTAATTAAATTTTATATATAAAAAAACAACATATTAGATTTTGTCACGTACCCAAAAGGAAGATAACGTGAAACCAAATAAATGATCAGTTAGTTACTTGGTGAGAAGTTTAAGTTCGTGTTGATGTAACTTCTGCCCCAAGTTGAAATCCAGCTTCCCTAGCTTCAGAATGGCTTCGTTGTGGGTATCGTCTTGTTGGTAAAACGACATGAAAAGCCTCGACTCCCTTATGGGCAGCCCTTTGAGTATGGGCCATTTCAACGAGTGTCTCACTCGGTCAGCCCAAGGCGAGTCCTCTAGCTGGGCTATGGGCCCAAGGCGAGTTTTTGCGAACTCTAGAGCCTCGTCCAGCACTTGTTCACCGTTGACTCTGTAGTAAGCAGCTTCGTACAAGCTCAGCAACCCTTTCACGTCGCCGGCCAGATCGTCCTTGAAGTTGCCCTTCTCGTCTTTGAATTTCTCCAACACACGCGTGGGATTGATGGGATAGCCCTGCTGCCTGAGAAGCCGGAACCGGAGGGAAACGGTGTACAAGTCAGCGTTGTCATCCTCATCATCGTCGGTGCAGGAGATTTGAAGGAGAGCAGCTTCGATTTCTTGTTCGAAATGGTAAGCGATGCCAAGCCTTTGCACGGCGTCAATCATCTCCAGCCTTTCCAGAATCGTATTGGTGATCTTCTTATCATCATTACTAGCAGCTCCCCTGAGCAGTTCCCTGACTTGTTCCGTCAGTTGCCGGGCTTCCTTCAAAGTCTGTTAATGCATGTGACATTAATTAAGAAAAGGAAGTAGAAAGGAAAAAGAAGTGAGTGAGCGAGTGAGTGAGTGGTGAAACAGAGAGGTTTCGGGGTACCTGCTGAGAATCATGATGATCGCCAGCGTTGGAGCGGGCAAAGAAATCATTCCAGACAGAAGGGTGAAACTCAACCCTTTTTCTGCGCAATTCTACAGCTGGTTGGTCAAAAGTAGCCATTGCCGCCATCTCTCTCTCTCTCTCTCCTCTTCTTTATGGTTTTGTAGTGGGCTTAATTTGCTGTTTGCCTGCAACATATATATAGGCCCTACATGGATGAATCAGGCAGCGTTTACATTTACTTCCACTTTCCACTTCTGTCTTCTTACCTTTCTTTCATTTTTTTTGGTTCTTTGAGCAGAAAGTCAATTGTGAGTTAGGTAATTTGGCTTGCATTCAATGATAATCGAAGAATAAAGATGCATATCAATACTCCTGGTTCTAGAGAGTCTATTTATGTTTAGCTAAACTCCAAATAGGATGCATAATCCATCAGTAACTAAATCTGGACCCTTCATTCAGAAAATTCAGATTTAATGATAGAGAATTAAATGCATTTTTATTGGTAATCTATAAGTATAAAATCGTAAATTTTAAAATTTTAAAATATGATTTTAACTGTATTGGATGAAACTTAACCCACGGAGAACGCATAATTCATCATAACTCGATGTATTGGATGGAACTTCAAATAAGAGCAAGAGTTTCTCTTTCAATTATTTAGACAGCGCGCGGGCCTGTTGCCCAGACACTGGCATCTAGCGGAGGCGGCGAATTTTGTCCTTTTGTTTGCAGTGGCGTCGTACATTCTTGCTTTCCTTTTCGCCGGCGCATTAGAAAACACGGCTGCAGATATTAGCAGAGAGCAGTGTTGTAGGCAGGGGCGGATACATGGCCTCTAGGGTGTCCCGGGACACCCTAAAATTTGGGGAAACGATTATCCAACCTCCGATAATAGTTTTGTATGGGTATACAAAATATAATTAGTAATTCGGGACACCCTAACATTTGAAAAAATGATTATCCTACCCTCGATAATAGTTTGCTTATGATTAACAAAATATAAGTGGCAGTCCGTGTTATTCCAACCAAGGATACTACTATTATCAAACATATTCTAATTATGTTGCTACTCATTTGTTATTCTATTTTAAACATCATGCAACAGTAAAACGCTATTTCTTTATCTCTAACTATTTTCAATACCTAATAATTAAACTACGTACACGCTACCCTTAATTTTGAATTGATTTTATGGTTACATGACAAGTGTTGAAAGAGTCTTTTCTACTTCGAGCTACATTAAGAACAAGGTTAGAAATCGAATATGTGATAAGTTCGTGAAGTATTGTCTAGTAGGATATGTAGATTTTTTTAACAGTGCAGACACAGAGTTTATTTATATTATTTTTTCAAAATATGAAAACACATCGTGAATTTTAATAAAAAATTTATACAAGTATGATATTTTTAATATACGAATTATTTAATTTATTATTTAATTAAATTTAATTTTTAAGAGGACATCCCTATGAAAATTTTCTGAATCCGCCACTGGTTGTAGGTGTATGGCAAGTGGACTGCATGCACGCTAGGCAAATGGCACTAGTAATTAATCGCAATTAAAACAAGGCTGCTATCCATGCATGCAAAGCTCCCCATGACATCACGTACATTTTTCTATATCTAAAATACTATATTTGCCCAAGTACTTTAATTTCACCAAATGCTTATCTTGCCCAAAAATATCATGTCAAACTATTTCTCATGAGCGGTTGATGGCCTTCAATAAATCTGAAGTTCAAGCCGGAAGAAATCAGTATTAGGTAGGGCTGGCTATTTGGTCCGGGTTTTTCGGTTTTACCCGAAACTGGACCGTATAACCCGAATCGGGACCGCACTGGACCAGATAGTAAACAATACAATCCAAATTTTGGACTTAGATTTGAGGTAAAAAACCGTTCGGGACCGGATCGAAAACTGGATAAAGACCGGATAAGAGAGCTCAACACCCAAAACTTAAGGGTAATTTGGTCAAAAACCTTTGCACTTAGTACAAAACTTAACCAACTCCTCACCCTTTCAGGCCTTAGACCACTCAAATCCCCACACGCTCAATATAAAATCAGGACCGAATTGGGATCGGACTGGTTCAAGACCGGACCGGATCAAGACCGGACTGTATCCAATCGAATTTTTGGTCCTTATATTTTCAAAAAGACCGAACTGGACCGGATCAATTTGGACCAATTTAACCAGACCTGACCGTATAGCCACCCCTAGTATTAGGAGTACTACGTGGGCTAGAGAAATAGGGTATTGTGGGAATCAGTGGTTGAATCTGAATCGCCTCGTTTAGTAGGTTGCTCATTTCTACATTATCGATCGACTAAAAAAAAGCACGTTCAAGAAGATGATTCCTTGAGCGTTCATGTCCAGATCTATTCTGAAATTAGTGCAGTAATATTATGACAAGATATATAGATTCAATTATTGGTGGTACCAACTGGACATCCATTCATATATTACCCCAGGATCTGCGGCATGTCGCATGCATGCAAATGGGAGTCGGGAGATAAGATATGTTCCGATATATACTAATACGATCTGAAGCTTCCTTTATTGATGAGATGAGATGTGGGAATGGAAGATATACGAATCCATTATACACTTCAATGCTAATCCAAAGAAAACAATCAATACATAATTAATATGTGTACTGACTTCTCGATTCTCATTGTAGTGGTATCCACGCTTCCCAAGTCCCCAAAAGATAGCTAACCAAATCCTACGCTATCTTCAACTGTCACTAAAATATAGGTAAAATTACGATCAACGTATCGAATTATTTGGATCGGAAACTTGCATGGCGAGGTTATGCGTGATTAATAATTTTGATGAATGATCTCAATCCACAGCTGGTAGGGGCCAATCAGTTAGTGGCCAAATAGAATCGACGTACGGCGGCGCCTGAGTGCCTTAGGTGTTTCGTTATCCCGTATATCTTTGGTTTCCTTTTCGCTGGCGCATAAGAAAACACGACTGCTGATTTTAGCAGAGAGCTGTGTTGTAGGTGTATGGCAAGTGGACTGCATGCATGCGAGGCAACTGGCACCAGCTATTAATCGTAGATTCGTAGTATAAAAAACAAAAAAACAAAAATACTACTGCTCTCCATGCATGCACGTAACTTTCTATATCTAAGATACTATATTTGCCCAAGCATTTTAATTTCACCAAAAACGTATGTTGCCCAAAAGTACAATGCCCAACTATTTCTGAGCGGTTGGTGGTACCAACTGCACCTCCATTCATACATTACCCAGGATCTGCGGCATGTCGCATGCATGCAAATGGGAGGTAAGATATGATACGATACGATATGATACGATCTGAAGCTTTGTTTATTGATGAACTGAGATGTGGGAAGATACGAATCCGCGGTACCATTTAATGTTTTTACCCAAGGAAACAATCAATACATAATATGAGTGCATTGACTTCTTTCTCATTGTAGTGGTATCCACGCTTCCCAAGTCCCCAAAAGACAGCTCATCAATCTTAAGCTATCTTCAACTGTAATTAAAATAAAATATAGGGCGATTTCAGATCGGAAACTTGCATTGCATGCGAGGTTATGGGTGTAAGATAAGATTGATGAATGATCTCGATCCACAGCTGGCTATATATTTCACGGTACTGCGCATAGTGACCGTGGATCAGTTAGTAGAGATATAGTTGATTTAGTAGTAAGGTTTTGACTAATACCTTGCGTCCTTGACCTTGAATATATGCAGGGGAAAAAAGGAGAATGGAAGTATCGGTGATATCAATGGAGAGCATCAAACCATTGTCATTAGCACTAGCAGGAGGTGGTGAACACGAGTTCAAGCCATTCAAGCTGTGTCTTCTAGACCAGCTCATGGTCTCCACTCATTCTCCTCTCGTCCTCTTCTACCCTCTCAAGGATGTTCAAGACAAGGGATCCGTCGGCAAACGTTTGAAAGCATCGCTGTCCAAGACCTTGAATCCCTTCTACCCTGTTGCCGGGAGAGTGAAAGACAACCTCGTCATCCACGACTTCGAACGAGGTGTCTCTTTCGCCGAAACACAAGTGAAGGGTCACCGTCTCTCCGACGTCCTGGCAGCCTCGCCACGTGGGGGACCCAAGTTGGGATTCCTGAACAACTTGCTTCCCTTCGAGCCATTTTGTTATCAGGAGGATGAAGCCGCTTCTGCACAGCTATCGGTGCAACTCAACACGTTTGACTGTGGCGGGATTGCAATCGGGTTGGCCATGTACCACAAGCTCATGGACGGTGTGACCGCCAACACATTCCTCCACGCCTGGGCCGCCAATTGCAAGGGCGATTCGGCGGCACGGCTGAAGCTGAAACAGCCGGAGTTGAGTAAACCATCCTCCGTTTTCCCTCCCAGCGAGTCAATCTCTCGAGAGCGCCTAGCGTTTATGAAAGACGTGTATTTTCAGAGCGTCCATCACCACCAACAACAACAACGAAAGGGAGCCTCGAGGAGATTCGTGTTCGACAAGAATGCAATAGCCACGCTGAGAACCATGGCGAGGAGCAGCAAAGTCATGGACCCAACTCGTCTCGAAGCTCTGTCGGCTTTCATTTGGGAATCCGCACTCAAGGCAGTTGCTGCTGCTCAGCGGCCGCAGCAGCAACTCCAGTGTTTCACACAGGCTGTTAATATAAGGACATTGATGAGCCCACGCTTGTGTAGATACTCCATTGGAAATCTTGTGGCCAACACATTGGTGTCCTGCAAGGACATCCCCAACAAGTCAATGAAGGAGTTGGTAGGTCTTATAAGGGAAGGAATTGTTAGAATCGATGAGAAGTACATCAACACCATGTCTAGCACAGCCAAGATCGAGGTTCAGAAGGTGGTGGGAGAAGTTGCCCAAGGAGGATGTGGTGGGCAAGTTCTGAGTTGCTCAAGCTGGGTCGGTTTCGGGGTTAATGATTACGACTTCGGTTGGGGAAAGCCCGTTTGGACCGGCTTATTTGGAGACCCTAGCGGAAATCAAGCTTTTCTCAACAATAGCATCATTTTCAAGAATTTAACCACTACGGGGCATGAAAATTTCAATGCAATAGAGGCATGGATAAGGCTAGATGAAGATGTCATGGCTCTTCTTGAACATGATCCTCACTTCACCCAATATGCTTCCCCAAATCCACCCATCATTCTCAACTGAACGTGATCCTACGGTCTTATGATTTATTCTGGGATAATGAATATTTTGTATGTCTATTTTATGGATTCAATACTGGTAATACAATTAAATAGGACGTTGGCCCATATTTTTACGTCATATAAAGTACAACATTTCATTTACGGGAAGAAATCAGCTGGTTCAGTAAATAACGGTAAGTCCGCGTGCTCTTCCAAGATGTGGATATAGAAAATGAAAAAAAAAAGTATATCCGGTTTTCAACTAAAATTCTTCGACATAACGAGCAATCCGTAAAAACATTATCTAATACAAATTCCATATATATTTACAAAATCTTGCATAACTCCATCTTCAGAAATTGTCAAACGACTGAAATCTATTCATTATCCCCCATCACACGCTCAACCTACACATAATTGTTCACATGAATGAATGTTGATTAATATTTTTCACGACCCACCAAATTATGAGTGAGTAAATTTTGAGGCTTCCCAATTAAATCCCAAAGACAGCTATGACATAATAGATGGTAGCTATTGCGAACTAGACCGGTTGTAACTGAACCTCGAGTATTTGAATTATTAAACCACAAGTTTTTAAAAATTACCAAAATTCGAAATCACTGTTCCTTAAGAAAAAATCGGGATCTACTGTTCACGGAAGGGTATTGTGATTAACTACGGGCGTTTCTAGGTAAGTCTGGGTTCACTTGCATTGGGCAGGAAAAACTTAGCCATTGATTGCTTTTTAACTTCTTTACATTCATGGGCTTTTGTGCAGACTACCACACCTGATCCATATGATTCTCTTTTTGCGTGCAGCCCCACCATCCTCTTTCATTCATTCATCTTTCGGTTTTTCCCATTCCATTTTCCTTCCCTTCTTTTTTCCCCTATAGTAAGAACCCCTTTCATAATCATTCCCATTGGTCAATTGACAAACCCCATTCATCAACATAAAAAAAACCCATTTTTAATTCCGTATATGAGTAACATAGTTCATACTTGCATAAATATAAGAAATACAAAAACTTCACTTACGATTGTTTATTGGTGAATTTGTGATTTTGAGAATAGTATGTAATTGTAGAATTGAGGAAGAACTTGAATTTTCATTTCACCGCAAGGTTAATTTTACCTTTGTACAGCTATTTTAGTGCCTTTTAATTTTCACATTACGAAAGATTTATATTATAAATACATTTCGTAAAAATTATAGTTAACTATCATGTTCACCATCACATCAGTTTACATTACACCAAAATCCGATGAGATACATTAACATTTTCTGTATAGTTTCATTAGTTGTGATACTTTCCATAACTTGATTTTATTATTAGACCAAACACTATGAAAGATTTATATAACACCATTTATAAAAATTACGTAAATTTATGCATTACACAAATCTTACAGAGAGATAATTATTTCTTATGTATCAATTAACAAAATTGCACAAAATAAGTCCTAATAACTAATATAATACGTAATAGTTTAACCAAATGTAAGATAAGTGAATCTTACATTATAGTTTAACCAAATGTAAGATATGTAACTTGATTTTATTATTAGATTACACATTACGGAAGATGACGTAAGACGTTGTATACCAGTTATTAAAATACACTATGTAAAACTTATGAAGATTGAAGGAATAGTTTTTTTTATGTATCAATCAAACATATGTGTTAGATAAGCATTTCTTAATAATTAAGACACTACGTAAAGCTCATGGAAGTGTTTTACTTGAACTATTTTATGAATAATAATTTTATTTCAACTAAAATATTGAATGAGTGAATTTTTTTTATTAAGAATAATTAATTGATTATCGCCGCAAAGCGCGGGCAAGTAAACTAGTAAGGTTGAATATTGATACCATATACTTAAATGAGCTGGATTAACATATCAGTTGGCCTGGTCCGCAGCCGGTAGAGGAGCCGCCTTCAGGAAAAAGATATAGCACAAAATTATTTTTAATATATAATAAAAATAAAATTAATAGCATCGACTAATAAGTAAAGAAAAGGCTCAAAACGAATTAGAACATTATTAGAGCTGCCAACAATTTTTTTTTTTATGAATGCTGCCAGCAATTTTTCCCCTCAATAACTTGAATTGTTTTATAAACCTTATACCATTTTTTCTCACTAGTTTTTCAAAAAAAAAAAAAAAAAAAAAATCAACTTATGGGATTGACATTTTGTACATATATGGCATACCATATGCTTAAATCAACGATTAGTATATAGGCTTGTTAGGAATTGAACACGAGACCTCACGGTCAAACAAACTCTGATACTATGTAATAGACCAATTAATCGCAATAATTCGAATTGTTTGAAAATACTCATACATTAATCTTCCACCACTTCAAAGAAATTTAGGGTTAGTGGACTGAACAACCATTGAAAGACCTCCTCGGAAGCAATCTCCCTTTAAGATTCAAAACCAGTTTCATTTTAATAAATCGTTACACATTCTAATACCGCTTTAAGAATTAGTTAATCTCAATAACTGAAGTTACGAGGAAAAAACCAATAACAAATCATATACAATTTACTTAAATCCCATCCGAGCAATAGTCAACTGTAAAAATTCACTTGTCAATTTTCGGCTTTCGCAAAATGGAAGTCCTATTTCAATAGTCAAATGAAAAGCTTCACTCATTGAATTGAGATGGGAGGGACGAACCCGTATTTTTATGTTATTCGTAGAGTGGCACCCCACGCCTCTACCTGGCTGCAAGAGAATCCTTTGACCAACCTATCAAAACTACAAAATAGTACGTACCAACTGATCATTAAACCTCTCTATATATATAAGTAACCACCCCGCAATCGTCGAATCCCAAGTAATATCCCTAACCTTCAGAACTTCAAGTTTATTTCACCCTCTCAAAAGCAAAGGATCGGCATCATGATCAGTACTAATGGAGGAGGAGACGGGAAAGTGGCGGTCTGCGTGACAGGAGCTTCAGGTTTCATAGCTTCATGGCTGGTCAAGCTTTTGCTACAACGTGGCTACACCGTCAATGCCACTGTTCGTGACCCAAGTCAGACTCTCTCTCTCTTACTCTGTACTTTTTTCTTTCGTTCTTTCTTTTCCTCTGAGTTTGACTCCTTTATTTTTGGGCGGCAAAACAAAAGGTGACGAAAAGAAGACAACCCATTTGCTTGGGTTGGATGGAAGGGTCTTTCGATTAAGCCATTGAAGGTTGCGTCGGAGTTTTCCATACAGCTTCCCCCGTTGCCTTATCTACCGTTGATCCACAGGTCTTTTTTTCTTTTCTTTCTTATTTCTTTTATTGCACAGAATTTACGGAGCTTTTGTCATGCATGCATTTCTTCTTTCTATCTGTAAACATTACTTAATTGTTTTCTTCCACCAGGCGGAGATGATTGATCCTGCGGTCAAAGGAACCCTTAACGTGCTGAAGTCATGCGCCAAGTATCCTTCTGTGAAGAGAATGGTCCTAACCTCGTCTGTTGCATCAGTTGTCTACACAGGAAAACCAGTTGACCAAGATTCAGTGGCTGATGAGACTTGGCTCTCCGATCCAGAATTCTGCAAGGAACATAAGGTGGGTTGTAAGAAATATAATCAAGGCGTAATTTTTAGTTTATGAACTAAACTCGCGCGGATTTTCCCCCCCCCCCCCCCCCTTAGCTCTGGTACCCACTTGGGAAGACCTTGGCTGAAATGGCTGCTTGGGACTTTGCAAAGGAAAATGGAATCGACATGGTCACAATTCATCCTGGCTTCGTGATTGGTCCCTTCTTACACCCAGCTCTCTGTACTTCGGTGGGCATGATTCTCAGCCTGGTTAATGGTAAGTAGTACCTAAATCATAAAAGCAAACCTATATCACTTTTATTAAAAAAAGAAAAAAGAAACCAAAAAAAAAAAAAAAAATGCAACAACCACCTCACTTGCTCTTCATGGCAGGAGTGATTTCTAAGTAACTTCTGGTTGGGTATAATTGGGTGCAGGAAACAAGATTTACCCAAAGTTTCATTGTTGGTCGGTTGATGTTAGAGATGTTGCAGAAGCTCATATTAAAGCCTTTGATCATGAGAACCAAGTATCAGCTTCTGGAAGATACTGCCTGGTTGGAAGTAGTGTGCCATTCTCTCAAGTTTTGGGGATTCTTCATAAGCTCTACCCAACGTTGCCTCTTGCTGACAAGTACGTATATCTTACTAGGCCTTTTTCGTATTAGTGTTTTTTTCCCGTTTGTTATTAGTTCATAAGAATGCAAAAGAAACAGAGAAAGCAAGTTGAACGTCCAATTTGGTTTGATTGTGTGTGTGTTTGTAACAGGTGCGAAGAAGTGAATAGTTTGAAGCTACCGGAGTTCGAGGCATCCAGGGAGAAGGCAGAAGATGGCTTGGGGATCAAGTTCATGCCACTAGAGGAGTCTCTCAAGGACACAATTGAATGCTTAAAGGAGAAAGGATACCTTCATTTCTGATCTAGATCAATATTGTGTGTTCAACTAATCGGTTCAAAATGAAAATAACGTTATTGTTGTAATATTTGTACCTCATGCAATCATCTTTCGTGTATGCTTATTGCTTTCGACCGATTGAAAACGGAGTATTTTAGTAGCTACAAAATCTGTCATAGAACAGAGCAAATAAAGTCAAGTTAATCTCACAAATGTTTATTGAATTGGTGATTACTAGATTTCAATAAAGAAACTAAGCAATCATTCTGATAGAAAGCGAGCATTATAAGGCCATTTTCCAACTTGTAGGAATTACACGGCACGTGATAGTTAATGGATAGTATTCATTTTCCAGAGCTATGTACGAATTACACGGCACGTGATAGTTAATTAGTACGTATCATGCATGCATGACTTTTCGTATCATCGTGCACAGATAGGGGGCGGCTTGCATAGTTAACTACGTTAGGTTTCTGTATGCTTTAACTAGTGTTGATGTGATTAGTTGACTTGGTCAAAATTTTCTATTTGAAGCAATTATATTTTTCAATGAATGAGTAAATTTACATCGAATGCATGAGAAGCAAACAAGAAGAAATAAATAAGAAGAAAAAGGTACAATAAAACAACAATTGAAACCATAACCGAATAGGTAATATCATAGAAAATTTTTCCGTAACAATTATTCATAAGTCATAACCATAAAGAAGACTCATGCTGCATTGAATAGTAAGTCTGCTGTAAGTATTGAGAGATGATTTTTTGGACAAAGTTCTAGTTGTAAATTTTTTGAAGTATTGTAGTAGTGACATAATACCAAGCAGTCATATCTGAAAACAGTTGCATTTCGGTCAAGCCATATTCTCGAGAAGATAGCATGAGGAAGAGATGTCAAGCATTTTGAGAAGTTGATGTTGCTTGAGAGGAGTGGTCATTCGATAGTCAGTGTCCAATAACTGTATGAGATTGGCCCGATAACACCTAGCCTAGTGCTGCAAATGAGTCAAGCCGCTCGCGCGCAACTTGGTGTTCGAATCGGAAAAAACTTGTTCGAAACTCGACTCGTTAGTAAACGAGCCAAGCTTGAGCTAGGCCATGCTCGACTTAATAAGCTCGTGAGCTAGCTTGACTCGGTGGCTTGTTGAGCTAAGCTCGCAAGCTGGCTTGTTTAAAGCTTGTGGAAGGATTAATTACTCTTCTAAACATGAAAATTATCTTGTTAATAAGGATGTATGGAAGTTAGATGTTATTTTTAGTTTCTAGTGTTCTTTTTATCATTTTAATTTTTAATGTTCTTATTTGTACACATTTTTTAGCAATAATGGTTTTCAAATAGAGCTTGTCTTGAGTCGAGCTTGTACTCAGCTTGACAAGTTGTGTTATTACCTAGCTCTATCGAGCCGAGCTCGAGCTGGATTATTTTTAATCGAGTCGAGCTCGAGCTGTATGATCAAAATTCGAGTTCGAGCCGAGCTCGAGCTAAAAAATTTATAAACAAGCCGAGCTCAAGCTAAGCAAAAACTCGACTCCACTCGGCTCGTTTGCAGCCCTGTCCTAGCCTAGTGAAGAGGTAGTCTCATATATGACACGAGAAGTGACAATGAAGAAATTTTATCTTATAAATATATATAATGTTCAAAAGGATACATCCAGCTTGCCTCCATGAATTTTTACGTTCTAATTATTTTTGAAGGCCAACTCCATAAATAGTATAATAATATTCATTACAACTTAGTCAAATTATAAAAAATCGTTCTATTTTCATTTCTAGTAAAGTGTATAAAAAGAACTTGTGGGGTCGAGATAAAAAAAATGAGTCATTTGTTTGCTTTGCGATGTTGCTTGTCTTTCTATCTTGAGATACTCTTCTTCTCATCATAGCAGTTGATTGATTTTTTGCTTTGCGACAGTTATTATTGTTCCTCTCTTTTCAATTTCATGTCAATAAACAATGGATAAGCAATTCAATGTTCTCGGTTAGGAATTCAAACACATAACATTTAATACATATAACAATATAATCAATTGATAATAATAACTCAAAATTATTAGGAGGAATTGAATAATAATCCATTCTCAAACCTCCCATCACATCAGCTCTTAGTTATACGTTAGGTAACAATGAATTGGTTCAGGAGTTTGACCACACTGAAAAACCGACCCCAGTCTTTGCCGTCTTGAACAGCGGAAGTTCAATCAAACTGACCTTGCATTCCTTCTTTCTTTGACACCGCCAAAAAAGTCAAGTCAAACGGTATCGGTCTCCCTTTCTCCTATTCCGAAATAAAAAGTCAAGTCAAACAGCAATTCATAAACCATGCAATGTGTCATTCCATTCAAAGTTCTAACGACTTGAACTCAATATCAAATGTCAATTGAAAGCTCCGTTAATTATTGAAGTTAGAAGGGAGATGCGCGAATCCCATGTTAAAATTTGTTGTTCAAACTTCAAAGTTAGCTGTATCATAAAAAATAAAAAAACAAGGGCAATGTCTATTTTTTACCCAAACCTTTTTCAGATTCTTTTCTTTTAACCAAATTTATAGAAATTCTATTTATTATCCAAACGTATTATAACTTATCAAAGTCTGGGCATTCATTCTGTTATCGTTACTTATTTTGTTACTTATTATTTTATTTTAAAAATAGTAAATGATGGTATTCTGACCGCCACGTAGGAAGTCAACTCATTATGGTCATACTTAGTCAACATTACTAACAGAAATATTGACGGAGAGTTAACGTTTGGATAATTATTCGGAATTCAATAGGTTTGGTTAAAATAAAAGAATCTGAAAAAGGTTTGGGTAAAAAATAGACATTGCCCAAAAAACAATACTAAAAAAGTCAACTGTTGTTACCAATTATTAAGGTACTACGTTTTCCATGCTAGCCGCCGCCGGCCAGCAGCCACCATATGACTATTCATCGCGCATGTTTATAAAAGGTTACTCGTCGGAAGGACGCTTAAAATCAAGCAAGTTCCAACAGTAGTACTGTTATACATAGCTAAGGTAAATGCAGTTTCATGTCCTTTCTGTCTTTCTAATGCAGTTTCCATCCATTATGTGGTGTGTTTAACTGAGCAAGTGTTGAACTTGTGCAGGAAGGAAAGAAACGTTAACCTTAAGAGTTCAAAAATGGAAGTGTCGGTGATATCGACGGAAAGCATCAGACCATGGTCATCATCAGCAGGAAGAGACAACGAATTCAAACCATTCAAGCTATGCCTACTCGACCAGCTCATGTTCTCCACTCACGCTCCAGTTGTCCTTTTCTACCCCATGAAGGAGGCCCATCATCCTGACGAGAAAATGGTTGCTAGGTGGCTGAAAGAATCCTTGTCCAAGACCTTGAACCCCTTCTACCCTGTAGCCGGGAGAGTGAAAGACAACCTCGTCATCCATGACTTCGAAAAGGGCGTCCCCTTCACCGAAGCCCGAGTGAAGGGACACAATCTGTCTGATGTTCTGACCTCGCCACGTGGGGGCGGTGGACCCAAGTTGGAGTTCCTCAACAACTTGCTCCCATTCGAGCCATTCTGTCAGGGACAGGAGAATGTTGCATCTGGTTCCCACACACAAGTATCTGTGCAACTGAACACATTTGACTGTGGTGGGATCGCGATTGGGATCAACCTGTACCACAAGCTCATGGACGGGGCGACCACCAGCGCGTTCCTCCACACCTGGGGAGCCAACTGCAGCAATGATCCTCAGCTGAAGAAGCAACCCGAGCTACACAAAGCATCCTTGGTTTTCCCTCCCAGGTACTCGATCCCTATCGAGTCCCAGACATTCTCGGACAGGATGCTGTTTGAGGATGTGGGAGGACAACGACGACAACAGGGTGCCTCGAGGAGATTCGTGTTCGATGAGAAGGCTATCGCGACACTAAGAACCAAGGCGAGGCTCAGTGTCCTTCACCCGACTCGTCTTGAAGCTCTGTCCGCTTTCATTTGGGAATCGGCCCTTAGGGCAACGGCTGCTGCGGGTGATGCGCAGCAGCTGATGTTTCTCATGCAGGGTGTTAACATGCGGCAATTGATGAGCCCGCGCTTGTCCAAGCACTCCCTAGGAAACCTCGTGGCCACGGCGATGGCGTCTTGCGTGGATAGCTCCAACAGATCGATGGAGGAGCTGGTGAGCCTTATAAGAGATGGGAATCTGAGGGTGGATGAGAACTACCTCAACGCTATCTCCGGCGACCAAGGTTTCCTGGCCATGATGCAAGGGCAGAAGTTTTTGCAAGAGATAACAGGAGGGTTTTCACGAAAAACCCTAGCTTGCTCGAGTTGGGTTGGGTTCGGTTTCAATAATTTTGACTTCGGTTGGGGGAAGCCTATCTGGTCCGGTTTGTTTGGAGACCCTAGTGGAGAACATCCTTTTATGAACAATACCATAATTTTCAAGGAGGTGGCTGCTCGAGGGCATGGGAACTCGAAAGCCATAGAGGCGTGGATAAGGCTAGATGAAGATGTCATGGTTCTTCTTGAACAGGATCCTCACTTCCTGGAGTATGCTTCCCCCAATCCTCCTCTCATTCTTGATTGATCATAAACTACCTATACCATTCTCCATGCGAGAAACTCCGAATTTGACCTTGTACTCGTAATCTTTGAACCTATCTTCTTTCGCTTTCGTTATTACCAAAACTATAAGGGGGAAAATATTGATCAATCATCAGACAGCTAGCTGATGTGATGATCACTACATAAATGTAATCATTTAATGGTTTATCTTGAATAATGGATGTCTTGAATAATGGATGCCGCCTTTTCATTAGCCACCTCTAATCACAACTGCCATCATTGCATTGAGAAAAGGGGACAGGTTACGGTGATTACACCGTGGTTACTAAGGGTAAATTGGATATGAAAAATAAATTGTATTAATTAATTTTTTTAATAAATTATATTTTAGGTAGTTACAAGAATCTATTAATTACAATTCTTTCTCTTTCTCTCACTTCCATAATCTCCAACCAGATCCCCTTTTCTTATTTTTCTCAATCGTTACGCAAAAGAAAAAAACGGGAAATCACTACCAATCAATTAGACAGCCACTACCACTTTAAAAAATATCAACACTATTGCAAAAATAACTCTATACCATTACACGAAAACTACCAATATAAATCTATACCATTTCACAAAAAATCAATACCATTGCAGATTTAATCAATACCAATACATGAAAGTTAATACCATTACATGATAATCAATACCAATGCGACAAAAACAATACCAATGCGAAAAAACACTACCACTACGAAAAAATCACTATCATTTCACATAACAACAATATCGTTACATGATAATCAATACCAATGTGGAAATAAATACCAATATGAGAAAATGAAATAAAAAAACAGATATGGAGTCTAGCTAATGGTTGCCGGCTCCTCCTCGCCGCAATGATGGAGAGAGAGAGAGAGAGGTGGCTGGTGGGGAGGATGGAGGGGAAAATATGATGGCGTCGGTGGTGTTGGGTGGGGAGGAAGGAGGGGAGAATGGCGGTTGTGGGTGTGGGGAGGGGAGAGGAGAGGGATGGCGGAGGGATGGGCAATGGGAAAGAGCGGAATGGTGGTGGCGGCGGATGGGTGGTGAGGATGCTCGCCGGGGAGGAAGGAAAGAAAATGAAGAATTGTTAGGTTTGGAGATAATTATTTAGGATTTTGGAGAATATATAGAAAGTTATATTTTAAAAGTAGTAATTAGGTGTGATTGTTATTTTTTTCCAAAATTTCCCTAATCAATTATAACGGTCAATTTAAAAATGCTAAAAATGGAGGGTGGAGATGCAGGTAGCCACGATGATTACTAAAAAATTAGTAATCATCCTAACTCATTCCTTGAGAAAATGAGAGGGCCAAGCAAGTTTTCTGCTCAAATACACCTATTGTCTAAACATTATTATTGTATTCAAGTTGGAACTTATGATTTCATTCTATGTTTGTGATTGTTTTCTGCTCAAATACACCTATTGTCTAAACATTATTATTGTATTCAAGTTGGAACTTATGATTTCATTCTATGTTTGTGATTATTAACTCACTGTAAAAATAATTAATTTTATGTTTTTTTCATTATTAACGAATATTATTTTTATTATTATCATTGCACGTTTAATTACCAACGTGGCTTGTTGAAATATTTGACGCTCCATTTGTGTTCATTATTAAGCTAAATTGATTCTGATTTTCTTCAGTACCATTGGATGAGATAGCATGCCTACCCATAAAAGGGTTGGAAAAATGACACCCCCTATTAATTATAGGTTTTTAAGGTAATTAATTTGTGTTGCATTTAATAATCTATATGAATTAAAAACACATATTAATTACTTTCCTTTTTTCAGTGCACTGGTAGTTGTATCAGTGCACTGGTAGTTGTGTACAGGTGCAATGGTAGATGTATCAGTGCAATGGTAGTTCCAAAAAAGGAACGTAATTAATACGAGTTCAGTATACAGGTGCAATGGTAGTTGTATCAGTACAATGGTAGTTACAAAAAAGGAATGTAATTAAGATGAGTTTTTAATTTCCAAATATTATTAAATGCAACACGAATTTAATACAAAAAATAACTATAATTAATAGGGGTGTCATTTTTCCAACCCCTTAGAAGGGTTAGCATGCTAACCGATCCCTCAGTACCATCAATGTATTATGTATGTAAGATAAACTTCATTGAGATCTCCAACAGATCTCCTAATAGAGAGAAAAAAAATGTCTTTCTCCGAAAAAAGGAAAAGCTCATCTCTCCCTACCGTTGGAACGCTAGAGAGGAAAGTGTTATGAAAATTGAAAATAAAAGTTAAAAAAAGTGTCATAATTACTGCCGAACATAATTTAATAATACAATTTAAGGCCTGAGTTCCGGTATAAAACTCTGATATGCAGTATGCACAACCTGATTGTATCATCGTGTATTATCATATCACGATAATACAACCATATTTTGTAGGGTTTTGCATGCAGGGTTTTTCTATCCTAGCCGCTCCCATATTTTAATTAAAATTATTAGTTATTAGATATAGATATATTAATTGGTCAGTTTAGCTTAAGGGATCCAGTAAGATAAGGTCGGGTCTACGGTAAGATTCCTGCACCCCTTTTCCATCTTTTCTCCTACCTAGGCCGAGTTCCACTCTCTTTTCCACCCACCGACCCCATCAGTTTTGCCTCTCCGTCGATTCCCCTGGAGGCTGGCCAAGTTGGAGCTATGGAGCTATGGTCGGAGATGGATAGCCAGAGAATTGAAGTCAGAACGCCAATCCCTTACTAAATCTCCTTATTACCTTTAAGTGCTTCCCCGCCAATTAATACCACAAAATTAATCCCAAGACCTTCATTAGTTTAATCCAAACTTGTGATCTCAAGGGGAACTGCATTGATTACCCAGATCCACTGCATATGGAAATGAGAGATACTGTCTACATTAGGAATGATAATGGGACAGGTCTGGGCCGGGTATCTCGATATCCATGCCCACCCCATGGCAGATCGAGTCCAGATCGGGTAATTTATCACGGGACGCGGGTCGGGACAGATCAACCTAATGGGTATGTAATTTATGCTGAAGAACATTAGAAATATTCGTTAAATTATTGAAGAATTTGAAGTTTTCACTTATTTACAACTTTATTATAGCTAAAAGATAATGTAGTAAAAGGAAAATCCTAAGTAATTTGACTAAGATTACATGTAATTTAGGCAAGAACAGGTCGAGAATGTGGCGGGTCAGACCAGGTCGAGTCGATAAGAGGTATTCATGCCCGCCCCGCCCACCCCGTTTTCGGAGCAGGTCTGACCCGCCCAAAACAGACCAAATAGGTCGGGTAAATCAGATTAGGTCGAAATTGTCTTCCCTAGTCTAAATGATATACGAACTGAAGCTTCGTCCATTGATGAACTGTATCATTTTTAATGTTTTCCTCTATCTAGCTAGAAACAATCATTATATATACCGTATACAATACATATCCTGTTTGTAAAGCATAAGGTACTGGACGTGCATTTTCATGCTATTGAATGCTTCCCAAGTCCCCAAAAGCACAGCTAATCAATTCAGACTTAAGCTTTCTTCCAGCAAGTTGCATGCATGTGAGGTTGTGGGTATAAATTAAATAAGATCTATCAGCAGCTGGTAGATAGATGGCTATATATATAGACACAGTACTTCATATTGGTTGTGGTTCAGTTAATAGAGATATAGTTGCAGGCAGGAAGTAATTAAGCTGTAACTAAGCTCTGTTACGTACGCGTAAAATCAAGTAAGGTAAGTCCCAACGTTATACGTACTGCATACATAGCTACAGGGAGCATATATATATAGTACTGTTGATTGTACGTTTTGGTTAAATAAATGCTTTAATTATTTTCTTATGTATGAATGATCGATCTGTGCTTATTTAATTAACAGAGAAAGTAACATGAATATGCAGGGTAGGGGGAAAAGGGCCGGAAATGGAAGTATCGGTGATATCAACGGAGAACATCAAACCATGGTCATTAGCAGGAAGTGATCGGCATGAGCTCAAACCATTCAAGCTGTGCCTTCTTGACCAGCTCATGGTCTCCATTCACTCTCCTCTCGTCCTCTTCTACACCATGAAGGATGAACATCATGATAAGAAATCGGTTGGCAAACGGTTGAAAGCCTCATTGTCAAACACCTTGAACCCCTTCTACCCTCTAGCTGGGAGAGTGAAAGACAACCTCATCATCCACGACTTCGAAAAGGGCGTCCCCTTCACCGAAACCCGAGTGAAGGGACACTGTCTGTCTGATGTGGCCTCTCCACGTGGTGGCGGTGGACCCAGGTTGGAGTTCCTAAACAACTTGCTCCCCTTCGAGCCACATTGTTATCAGGAGGATGAAGCTGCTTCTCCACAGCTATCGGTGCAACTGAACACGTTCGACTGCGGTGGGATTGCGATTGGGATCAACCTGTACCACAAGCTCATGGACGGGGCGACCACCAGCGCGTTCCTCCACAGTTGGGCGGCCAACTGCAGCGGCGATAATCCTCGGATGAAGAAACAGCCAGAACTACGCAAAGCACGCTCGGTTTTCCCTCCTCGGGACTCCATCCCAACTGAGGTCCAGACATTTTCAAACAGGTTGTTCTTCGGGGATGTGGGACGACGACCACGAAGACTGCCCGCATCTAGGAGATTCGTGTTCGATGAAAAGGCTATAGCGATGCTGAGAACCAAGGCGGGGCTCAGCATCACGAACCCGACTCGTCTCGAAGCTCTGTCTGCTTTCATTTGGGAATCGACCCTCAAAGCAGCTGATGAGGTGGAGCAGCAGCAGCCAACGTGCCTCACTCAGGGCGTTAATATGAGGCCATTAATGAGTCAACGCTTGTCCAAACACTCCGTTGGGAATCTCGTGACCACTGTTATGGCGTCCTGCGCGGACAGCCCTGCAAAGTCAATGAGGGAGCTGGTGAGTCTCATACGAGATGGGAACTTGAGAGTTGACGAAAACTACGTCAATGCCATCTCCGGTGAGCAAGGGTTGGCGGTCATGATGCAAGGGCAGATGGTGTTTGAGGGGATTATGAGTGGAGGGAAAATCATGGTTTGCTCAAGTTGGATTGGGTTCGGTTCGAACAATTTTGACTTCGGTTGGGGGAAGCCCATCTGGACCGGTTTGTCTGGAGACCCTAGCGGAAACCTCCCTTGCCTCAACAACAGCGTTATTTTCAAGGAAGTAGCTCCCCGAGGGCGTGGAAGCTCTAAAGCCGTAGAGGCATGGATACGGCTAGATGAAGATGCCATGTATCGTCTTGAACATGATCCTCTCTTCCTTCAATATGCTTCCCCAAATCCACCCATCATTCTCAACTAGCTATACTACCTCATCACCTGTACTTATGGCGTCTCTAATGAATTAATCACAAGAAAACTAGTTATTTTGAGATATATTAATTGGCCAGTGTACTTAAGGAATTTAGTCGAATGTGGGTAGGCCTACCGCAAGTTTGTTGCACCCTACTTATCCCGTTTAGCGTTTACCCCTTTTCTGTTCCAGCGATCCCGTTCCGCCCACCGACCATTTGTTCCCCCTCCGGCGATCCTCTGGCAGTTGGCCAAGCTGCTCCGACTATACTCTGGCAAAACGCCAAGCTCTGGACTGAGGGTCGAGGGAAGCGTATCCCTGTCTCGGCCGATGGTACAAAACAAATTTCCTACTATTGAAAAATAAAGTTTAATTAAAAAAATGTAACATCACAACTAGTTAGAATTGTGAAGTGTGTGGAGTTATCTAGAAATTGTATTAATGTGGGTAGTTATAAATTAAGAAAAAGAAGAAAAAAAAATCACAAATGGGTAGATATTTGTGGGGTTAAGTAGGTGTGAAGTGGTAGTTAAGTCATGTGGCAAAGTTTAAGCCACAATTTAGTGTTGGAACTTGACTATAAATAGCCATGGTTTGTGTATGGTTTCTTCATCCCAAGCAAAGCAAAGCAAATAAGAAAGAAACTAGAGAGTGTTTGAACAATTGTGAGTTGTTGGAAGGTGAAAAATAAAGAGAGTTTGTGAGCATTTCAATCCATTTTTCCTACAAGTGGTATCAGAGCCAAGGTTATTCCTCGTATGCTCTGTGGTTGCGGTTTAGGCCGATCATCCACATAAGAAAAGGGTTCCTTGTGCTTTGTCATCAGTATCAAGGTTATTCCTCGTATGCTCTGTGGTTGCGGCTTTGGTTGATCTTCCACATCAGAACAATGTTCCTTGTCCAAGCACTCCCTCGGAAATCTGGTGACCGGCGCGATGGCGTGCTGCGGGGACAGCCCCGACAACAAGTCAATGAGGGAGCTGGTGAGTCTCATACGAGATGGAAACATGAGAGTTGACGAGAACTACCTCAACGGCATCTCGGGCGAACAAGGGTTGACGGCCATGGTTGAGGGGCAAAAGGTGTTGCATGAGATTATGACTGGAGGGTTTGGTCGGACAATTATGAGTTGCTCAAGCTGGATGGGGTTCGGTTTCAATAATTTCGACTTTGGTTGGGGGCAGCCCATCTGGACCGGTTTGTCTGGAGACCCTAGCGGAGATCATCCTTGTCTCAACAATTGTGCTTTTTTCAAGGAAGTGGCTGCCCGAGGGCGTGGAAGCTCGAAAGCCATAGAGGCGTGGATAAGGCTAGATGAAGATGCCATGTATCTTCTTGAACATGATCCTCACTTCCTTCAATATGCTTCCCCTAATCCGCCTATCATCCTCAACTAGCTAGCTCGCTAGCTGCCTCATCACGTGTACTTATGACTTCTCTAATGAATTAATAACCAGACAACATGTGATTAGTTAATGAAGCCTCCCCTTTCATCACCTTCTGCTACTAGTATTGCTATCCTATATATACCAGGATGGTATTGCTCACCTTCTGTTACTAGTATTGCTGTGCCTTGTGTGTTATGAAGTTGAGTCAATAACAAGTCCGGATAGGATCTGAGTTAGTAGAACGTGAGTTACATGTGTTGCTAGTTTTAAGGACTGTGGTTGTAACTGTTAAGCAAGTCCTTGTTTTACGTTTGATAGGCTGAGTGATAGCTTGTTTTTAGCTCCCAATAGTTGAGTTTGATGTATTTAATACGTTTCTTTGTTCTGTGAATAAGATTATCTAGTGTTTGCCCTCTATTGTGTATAACAATATATTTGGTCATGAAAAAAGTGTCCCTAAAAAATTTGTAGATCTAATAAATAATGATGAACTAGATATTTTTTCTGAACAAATTTTTAAAAATTCGAATTAAAAATGAAGGTTGTTCTAGAGGTGGTAACAAGTGGTATGAGTGTGACAAAAAGTCTTTTCTTTATGTATATTAAAAATTGATATTATTTTGTAGATTACGACGAACTCATTTGCTTTGTGGAAAATATTTAATTTAAAATCAAAATTAAAACAAAGAAAACAAAAACTAATTAGGAAAAGTAAGGAAATAGAAAGTCATTTAATCTCATTTCTTAATCTAGCCCAACTAAAAACAAAATGACCTCTAGTTATTCACCCCAAATTCAATCCAGCATATATATATATATATACCAACTTGGATCTCCATTAATTGGCCAGGATTCGCGACATGTTGCATGCACATGGGCCAGATCCTAATCCGCTGTAATGTTTACCCAAAATATCAATCATGGCATTATTGATATATTACGAGAGCAGAACCATAATTAGCCAGCATTTATTATATACACTAGATAAATGGCCCGCGCTATGCAGCAGGTTGTCGAGGAAAAAATACCAGTCAATTAGCGTGAAAGACGTTCATCTTTCTTAAATTGTTTGGACGTTCTTAGAGATAAAAAAATGTTGTAAATTTTTTATCTTTAGAAATACCAAAATAATATGGGATTTGAATTATTGAGTATGAAATTATAGCGCATGGTATGGTGCCAAAGATCAAAGTGGAAACTCCAAATTCTAGTGCTTTTTATATGAACAATTTATTTTGGTATGTAACTACGAATTAACAAAACTAATCAAATCATATTGTCTTCTTTGTAACCGTAGGAATTATAGCCTTATTCAAAATTGAACATAGTATTTGAACTTTGGTTATCTCAACAAAATGTAAGTGAATTATCCTTAATATACATAAGACCTTCCATAAAAATCCCAATATACATTACTCAATTCAAAATTCTTAAGGATATAGATAATAGAAATTAAAAAGATGGCACTGGAATGTGACGAGATAATTTCATAGTATATGAAACATGGAAGATACTAAGTTGCACGAAATAATGAGAAAGATTGTTGATATAATGAGAACGATCACTGAAACTGAATTGATTTTGACGGGGGAGAATAATCAACCCTTGAGTTATACAGTGTACCATATGCAAACAACTAAACCCTTAAAACACTGGGAGACAATAAGATTAAGAAGTGCACTATATGGGGCTCATTATGAGATATTTAGGAAATTAAAAATCCATTAAATAGGATTCTACTTTAAAAATGAATGGTCCTTTCCTAATTGATTAAGCAACTAAATTCACTAATTAACCATCCCAAACAAAATTGACACTAAAGATATCAAAATCAATTAACAAAAAAAGTATACTAACAACAGCTAAAAGGTCCTAAAGAAAGATGAGGTTGGTCGTTCCATCACAATATGGACAGTCTTTTAGTTGACAAAGGTATATTAAAATTTGTGGCATGTGAAAATACATAACTTCAGCTCAATTTCCATCATCGACAACATTCTGCAGTTGGCTTCTCCCCTCTGCAGAAAACACAAAAAACCTGCAAATAACACTATCAAAGTCCAGAAGATATTAGACCTTTTATCATTTTTATAATTTCATTTTTAAAAGGTTTTGAACCTAAATAATTTGTATCCAATAAAGAGAACATCCTATCTTTCTTTAGGTTAGCTCTGCATAAGTATATATTGTCTCAAGGTGTAATTATTCACTGGATACTACACGCTTCATTGGTACACTGCAATGCCTACTAACCATTCCACTTTCAACATAAGGGGAACAAACTATAGCTATGAAGCAAGAATCAACACCTCTGAGATATCACTTTTCTTCCAGCTCCAGAACAACATTATAGGTCCAAAACTGCAATCAAGACAATTAAAGAATATTAGCATGAGTCTCAGCTTAAACAGCTATACAACACTTAATAAATCTAATCTATTGAAAAGATTACCAATTTGAAACAGACCATTAACAGCTCATTAAGTGGATGAATAGTAACTGAAGATAAAAAGTGGAGAATAAAAGAAACTGCAAGATAGATTGAGCTCTAAGGAAGAATTATCTGCACACAATACAATCTAAAATCCCACATATAACCTGCTTAACTTTGTCATTCCCATTTGCAAGATTCCATCTCCCATTTATTTTCTTTTTAACCAAATATAAGGGAAGATAGACAGGGATAAATAGATTTCATTCTTTATGTCATGGAAGGATTAGGAAGAGATATTCAAATTGGAATACCAATCTCATGGAAGGGGCATACTACCAAAGCATTCATGGACCTGACATCTATACCATGGATTCTAAAGTGTTCAAACCAAGCTTTTGTCAACCGTTTGTTTTATCATATGAAATCCAAAAGGAACATCCTCAAGCTCAACTTATATGCATGGCAAGCTAATTCATGGTCCTACTCTAATTCAAGTCAAGGTAGTAATCAGGAAATTAGAAATTTTTAAATGACATGACCTTCTTACGTTCCTCTGCCTCTCCATATCACCGTCAGAGTGAATCAAACTGTTGAGAGTGCATTTTGCTGGGAGTAATGCCACGATTACTGTGTGTTCCCAACCAACCATCCAGCTTGTACCAGAACCACAAATTGACTTAGTTGTTGAAGCAACTTCTCTATACAACTGCGTTTTTGGGAACACTGCTGGCTACATGAGCAGCAGAACCCTTATGAGGAAGAAATGGGGTTATCAACTAAACGATATTATGCTGACATAACTTAAAATAACCAATGAGTATGAAAGAATGAACATCTATGCAATTTCTTTGTGTTTTCAAATTCTCTCTGTTATTATTTCTGCCTCAAAGCACAGCATATCATTAAACTGCTGCCGTTACATTGGAAGCACCAAGTTTGTTGAGAACATACTGCTGACCAAGTCTTTGAGCATTAGGGGTGGCTTAAAAACTACTCTGTGAACCTTGTATTAGTATCTAACACATCAGATGATCAAAATCAAACTATTTAGCTGCAATCATCCTAGTAGAGGTAGAAGCGTTAGTAACAAAAGACCATATGCCGAAGAGCCACCAAACTGTAGTAAATCATTCGGTTTTTCACCCAAGTATATCTCTCTTCCCATACAACAAACATGGAATTCATAACCTCCTGATAAGTATGGTTAGATGGTGGAAAGGGTGAATTGGATTGTAATTACTATTCAACACCATGTGATTCACCCAACTAAATTCATTGATCTATCAACCGAGAGCTAAGCTAGTCGTATTAGATCACTCTATACTACTTCAAAATAAACTTTTCTAAGGTAACTAATATGTAAAGTTCAGTCCCTGTGATCAAAGAACACCCTGATCTATACCAACCAATTGAAAGCTGATGATGAAAGGAAGATAAAAAAAAATAAAAAAAAAGCAATAACAAACCTACACTACTTACGGAACACAAATGCAGGCAAGACCACCAATCACAATTAAAGAAGTGATGAAAGCCCAAGAACCTCCATTACGCCCGTGAGGGCTTCAAGATCCCCTTCTCTCTTCCTCCTCCATAGCTGCTTAATGGTTGCCGGAAGAAGAGTGCGCATCTAGGGGGAAGAAGAAACGCCGGGAAGAAAGAGAGACGATGACTGGGACGATCAACAACTGATTCTGGTCTAGCTCCAACTGGCGGCTAGTAGCATCCTTGGTTCCCCTTCCCTTACGATTTAGCTATCAGATCTGAAGAAGCGGACTCGAACCAACTCTTGAGGAGTTGAGATTTCCAACTTCACAGAGGTCAGGAATATAGATCGGCGGCAAAGCAGGCTCTTCCCCTTCCAGCTCCATCTTCCACGACAACCCTTTCCTTTACTTTGTTTCGATTCCATGGAAAAGAAATAGGAGAAGAAGAAAATGGATGGTCGCAAGAATCGGAACGCAGAGAGAAAGGACGGGAAAAAAGGAGAGAGGAATCAGGAATGAACGACCCAAAAAAAGAAACAGAGTTCAATAGGAGAGAGAAGACAGACACGTGATTTAGGGATAAGAATCCAAAGGTTCAGATTAGCTAACATAATTATTGATCAACGACTTAACTTAGCCAGCCCAAAGTTAGTGAACTCGGGCTCAATCAAAACTGGCCGTAGGAAACTCAAATCCCCAAGTGAACAGTACCTCCGATTTTTTCTTAAGGAACAGTAACTTCGATTTATGGTAATTTTTTAGTACTTGTGGTTTAATAATTCTAATAATAATAATTGACTTCTCATCCAAGCCACCCAAATACAGATAATCGTGAGCTTTATTTCTTCAGCTGTCACTAAATAAACATATATAGGTCTGATTACGATTATTGCATCCAATGAATTATTCGGATCAAAAACTTGCATGCATGCATGCGAGGTTATGGCTGTACATTAAGATCGAATATTCTCGGCAGCTGGTAGTGGTCAAATCGTGTAGTGTAATGTAGTGTACGTAGGGCTATATATACATATATATATATACACAGTAATGCACATTTGGTTGTGGATCAGTTAACAGAGAGAGATATTGTTCCATAAAGAGGGAAAATGGATGTATCGGTGATATCAATGGAGAACATCAAACCATGGTCAGTAGAGCATGAATTCAAACCATTCAAGCTCTGCCTACTTGACCAGCTCATGGCCTCCACTTATTCTCCTCTTGTCCTCTTCTACCTGTCAAGAACTAATTGATCCCAATAACTCGAGTTGTTGGGAGATGTTCAATCGTGGATCATATACCACAACACTAACACGCCCCCTCAAACGAAAACCACTCACAAGGGCTTGAAGTTTGCACAGGTCTGAAGACAAGAATACCATGTGCTTAACAAATGGGGGTCACCGGGAATCGAACACAAGACCTCTCGGTCACAGAAGGCTTTGATACCATGTCAAGAACCAGTTGATCCCAATAACTCGAGTTGTTGGGAGATGTTCAATCGTGGATCATATACCACACACTCAAACACTACCCCATGAACAGTAGTAGTGCTGATCGCCATGAGAAAGAGGTGGTTGCTAGGCGGCTGAAGGCCTCTCTGTCCAAGACATTGAATCCCTTCTATCCTGTATCAGGAAGAGTGAAAGACAACCTCATCATCCACGACTTCCAACAGGGTGTCCCCTTCACCGAAGCCCGAGTGAAGGGGAACCGCCTGTTCGACTTTCTGGCCTCGCCACCCAACTTGGGGCTCCTACACAACTTGCTCCCCTCCGAGCCTTTTTGCCTGGCGCCACATCATCATCATCATCATCCACTACTAGCAGTACAACTCAACACGTTTGTCTGCGGTGGGATCGCACTCGGGCTGAACATGTACCACAAGCTCATGGACGGGGCCACCACCAGTGCGTTCCTCCACACCTGGGCGGCCAACTGCAACGTCCGTGATCCCGCGGGATCATCGACAATATTGCTGAAAAACCAACCAGAGTTACGCAAACCATCCTCAGTTTTCCATCCTCGCGACCCTGTACTTGTCGATCAGTGCCAGAAGGCCATGGCAAGCATGATTTTCCCAGATGTCCGTCCGGGAGGACAAAAGGCTACCACCAGGAGGTTCGTGTTTGATAGAAACACGATAACGGGCCTGAGAGCCAGGGCAAGGAGCAACAAAGTTACGAATCCGACTCGTCTTGAAACTCTGTCTGCTTTCTTTTGGGAAGCCGCCCTCAAGACATCTACGACTACTACAGCCGGTGGGCCACGACATCAACTACCATAAAAGAAACAAAACTCTTTCACAATTATGGTCAATTCTTATAACTTAAGTTTTTTATTGATGATTTCACTTTTTCCTATAATAATAATACGGGAATGGATGTTGTGCATAACTTACCTATTAATTACTATGCATAAACCTATACTTAATATTTATGAAAGAGAACAAACTTTTTTCCAAATTAATTTTAATGAGTTATCTCTTTCATTTTGTGTCGTAATTGAAAAAATATTCATAGAAAAATCAAATTAAGTTCGCTCTTCAAAATGACATCGATTTTGATATATTTTGAAATAAATAAATTGTGACATATATTACGATTTCATACCATGGTGGTAATTTTTTGTAGTAAATAAGATAATACTAAATGCTATGTAAGTGTATCATGGTGGTATTAACATATCATACTATAAAATAGTTATATATATATATATGATAGTAGTAATATATTAATTGTCATTTACTACCTTTCATCACCATCTACCACTACTTAACACTACATACCATTACCAAGGTGGTATAGGATGGTATATATGGTCTTGAAAACATTTTCCCCGGAAATTTGATCACATTGAAGTTGTTCCTTATGATAAAATATTTAAAAATATTTTGTGTAAAACGAAGGTGGTACATAGTGGTTTATCAAGGTGGTAACGTGTGGTATGGCTGGTGCGAAAAAATTTCTCGAAATATATTGAAAATGGATATAAATTATAAATTTTTCTGAAATCCAAGTTAAAAAAAAGAAGATAAAACCAATTTATAAAACAGAAAAATGAAAACGCTTAATAATATCCATAAGTTCATCGCGATGTAATAGTTTAGACAATGTTATATTGATGTTGACATATTTATTTGACAACGCTTAATCGATGGACCCTGAGTCCAAAATACAAAAGTAACACAAAGATATACTAAAAATACACACACCATGCATTGAACTGCCCAAAGATCTTATTGGCAACAAGAATATATAGCTGGGTTATATAGGCACAGGATCCACGAGAATGTTGGTGAGCAATTCTTTCATGAAGGTCTTGGCATGCGTGTAAGTGTCTTCATCCTTATACAAAAGATCCATGACACGCACCATATTCACTATGGTCATCAGAATCGGTAACGGAGCTTTCAAAGGCAGCATCAGATCCTCGTTCATGTCTTTCCACAGTTTCTCCACCAAATTGTTCAACCCCACGTACGCCTCTTGCTTTGACACACCGTATTGCTTCATGTAGCACTCTACAGACGAAGCCACATGTCCCCTTTCTTGCTCAAACTGTACCCACATATCGAAATATATATTATCAGTATCGGCTCATGTATGAATCAGCATAATTAATAGTCACATTAGTTAGCATACATGAATGTCAAGTACGTTAGAATTTAAAATGGGGGATGGAGCTAGGGCAACCATGCATGTATACCTCGTGGGAGACTATGTCATCCATGAGCCTGGCGATGCTAGAACCAGCCACAAGGATTTTAGGGTTGGGTTGACTGAACAGCCATTCGAAGACCTCTTTGGAAGCAACTTCTCCCATTCCACAATAAACCACTGTAATAGCCAGGGGATACCCAATGCTCACATAACCATTAGGCACATGTTCCTCCATTGTTGCTACATAACCTTTGTTGTACCATCTGGCTTCCTTGATGAATGCCCTCACTATCTGTTTCACCTGTAATTCATATGTTTTGTTCAATTAATTAGCGACGGAATTAATTGCATCATAAGTAAGAATATTAAGGACTGATGAGTTATTTAGGCAATTAATCTCAATATTAATTACCGCTTCCATTGCATACTCCATACATAAGGACCTGCCTTCCTTGGACACATGAGCTTCAATTTCAGCAAACACGTCAAGCAAGGTCTTAAACCAGAACTTGAAATAGCTAGGGAGCACGTCTTCATCTGTAATTTCCCACCTAATAGAAAATTTTTACCAAATTAATATAAGTTGATGAGAATACTTAAGTGACTAACAAAAGAATTGCCAACCTCTCCATGACTTTGGTAATGCTCTCTAGTTCATCAATGGTGCCATGGACATCGAAAATGTCATCTAAGGTGGAGACAAGTGCGGTAATTTTCGTGACAAAAATTCTTCCAGTGGTATAATCAGGCCTCATAAATCCACCCAACGGCCACATGTAGCACTCAATCACCCTGTCCCGCGCAAACGGTAGTGTAGTTGGCGTGTCCAAATCCATCCACCACCTTTTATTTACCAATAACGGAAAGAAAAAAGGAAAAATTAGATGGCCAGCCATAATCCAATTATAGAGTCAAATAAGGTGGCGGTAGTGGTGGTGGTCTGGTTGTTGATAATTCAGTGAGACAGGACATTCTGACCCATCCTTATCAAAACATTGTAGCTAGGGCACAATACAAAAACAAAAAGCAGCACAATATGGCAATAGTCTTGTCCACTAATAAACCAGCCTTTTTTCTTTTTTGGTGGAAGAAACCAGCTTTTTCGACACCACCTGTCAAAAGGATAAAGAATGATTACTTGGTGAGAATATTAAGCTCGTGCTGATGCAACTTCTGGACCAAGTTGAAATCCAGCTTCCCTAGCTTCAGAATGGCTTCGTTGTGGCTCTCCTCTTGTTGGTATATCGACATGAAGTGCCTCGACTCCCTTATGGGAAGCCCTTTGAGTATGGGCCATTTCAACGAGTGTCTCACTTGGCTGGCCCAAGGCGAGTCATCTAGCTGGGTAATGGGCTCAAGGTGAGTTCTTGCGAACACGAGTGCTTCATCCAGTACTTGTTCCTCGTTGACTCTGTAGTAAGCAGCTTCGTACAAGCTCAGCAGCCCTTTCACGTCGCCGGACACATCTTCATTGAAGTATCCCTTCTCGTCTTTGAATTTCGCCAAGGCGACTGAATGGTACGAAGTCGCACACAACAAACGTAATGTCACAATATTATATGTTAGTAGTCGTTTCCCAACAAGCTGCAAGTATGCATGCATAGAATAATTATGTAAGGGTGCGTTTGGATAAGTGGATTTTAAATGTAAGGTATTTGAAATATTAGCATTTGAAATGGATGTATTCGAAATATTAGCATTTGAAATACATGTAATTCAAATTCATTGTTTGGATACTCATTTGTAATTTATTTGTATTTTGTATTTTATGATTTTCAATTTCAATTTTCAATTTTCTAGTCACTTACTACAAATTTTGGTAAATTACAGTTTGGTACCCAAAATTATTTTTCTTACAATTTAGTACCTAAAATTTTAAAATTTTATAAAAAGGTCCTGAAATTTTGATGGTAAAATTACATTTGGGTACCTTTATATGTTTTGCCTCACACTATAGTACCTAAACTTTTCATATTTTACAAATAGGTCCATTCTTTTGTTAGGAGGTATTTCAAATCACTAGTTGTTGAAATGTATTTGAAGTTGACAAAAAATACACTAGACATGTATTTGGAAATCACCCCATGAATTTGACACAAATCCAAATACCAAATGTAATTAATATCCAAACACATGATTTGGTATTTGGAAATCCAAATCACAAATACCAAATCCAAATCATTGTATCCAAACGCACCCTAAGAGAGATATATAAAATACATGATTAAATTTCTTCCAACAACACGATTTATTGAAATCAACTGGTTAATGATCACGCGCTATTAAAATGATTTGGTCAAATGTTGTGTGTTTGGATCTCCATGATCTCAATATTAACATGGAATTTAAGCACAATGTATCGTGAGTCTGTACAAATTAACTTCAAATTTATGATTTGGTTTTCGTTTAAGGGAACATATAAAAAGGTCTTATAAGATCTATAATTAACTTGTTGGTTCCAACAAGTTGAATTATTAACTCGACACCAACTTATTTATGACAAATACTAGATGAAATAACTCACGCGTGGGATTGACGTGGTAGCCCTGCTGCCTGAGAAGCCGGAATCGGAGGGTAACAGCGTACAAGTCACCGTCGGCGTCGACATACCCATCGGCGGCGGCACCGGAGATTCGAAGCAGAGCTGCTTCAATCTCTTCTTCGAAATGATAAGCGATGCCCAGCCTTTGGACGGCGTCAATCATCTCCAGCGTTTCCAGAATCGTAGCCTTCTTCTCATCATCGTTACTAACAGCTCCCCTGAGCATCTCCCTGACTTCTTCCGTCAGTTTCTGAGCTTCCTCCAAATTCTGTTATAATATATATGAAGTTCCAAAAAATCGAAAAATAAAGTTCGAGTCTACCCTGTCAAAGTGTCAATCCATGGTTTATCGTAAAAGTTACCATGCAGTATATATACATAAAAAAGGAAAATTATGGAAGAAAAGAAAAGGTGGTAAAAGTGAGAGAGATCGGTTTAGAGTTACCTGAGAATCAGCAGCGTTGGTGGAGATGTTCGAGCGAGCAAAGAAATCATTCCAAACGGAAGGATGAAACTCCACCCTCTTCCTGCGCAACTCTGCCGCCGGTTCATCAATACCCACCGCCATAATCTCGGGGTTTTGCTAATGTACAGTAGCTAGATAACTAGCTAGCTTGGATCAGAGCAGTGAGGGAGTGTGTATGTCTAGACCACACATCTATATAATGCGATAAATAATAAGATAATTGATTTTTATGAACGGTATTATCATCCTGAAGAGGTATCGAAAAGACTAGTAGTCTATCCAGTATCCACTCATACTTCATCCCATCTACATTCCACATCGGTAGGGTTGCAAACAAGTCAAGTTGATTCGAGATTTTTCTTCGTTTGAGCTCTGCTCGTTTATAAATTTTGCAGTTCGGATACTGCTCGAATTTGAGTTTTGATAATCCAGCTCGAGTTTGTGCTCGGCTTGAATTAAAGTAATTTAACTCTACTTAGTAGAGCTAGGTAAATGCTCATAACAGAGCTTGTCAAGATGTGAGCAAGCTCGCTCAATATGAATGAAATAATTTATGCTGAAAAATGTGTAAACATAAGAATTTAAATTATAAAAACAGTATTAGAAACTAAAAATATTACTAACTTCCATACACATCCTTATTAACAAGATAGTGTTCATGTTCAGAAGAGTAATTAATTATTTCACAAGCTATAAACAAATCAGCTCGTGAGATTAGCTCAACAAGTCATAGTGTCCAGCTAGCTCATGAGTTTATCAAACTGAACATGATATAGCTCAAATTCGACTCGTTTACTAACGAATCAGCTCATAAATTATCTTATTAAAATTAAATAATAAATCAAGTATCGAACAAATTTTTTTCTGATTTGAACATTGAATTACTTGCAAATGGCTTGGCTTATTTGCAGCCCTACATATTGGGCCATGGTATGAGCCTGCCTGTTGGCTTCGCGGGCGGCCCACAAACTCCTAATATCACTCCACCAAATTAGTAGAGCAAGTGGTAGTCTGGTAGAGGCAGCTGGGGATACTGTTATTATATAATAGCCGCCGAAAAAGACTGCTCATTAGTACTTGATTATTGGGTTTGGATTTTTTGATTTTATTCGAAACTAGATTGTATAATTTCGAGCAATTTAATCAAATCGGACCATATAATCACCCCAATTACTCATAAGCAACTTCTTGAAAGTTAAAAGGAGGAGGAGATGAAGAAATTGGCGCCGGTTTCTATTATTCTATTTATTATTTATTTTGTTCTGTATTTTCTATTATTTTTGGTGGACCAAACTGATCCATGCTTCCTCAGTTCCATGTCATTTTCCAAGATTATAAATAATTGTAATGTGCAGACATCCAGATAAGATTCATGATTTTCCCCCACAAGATCTGAACTTTGGTCGAGTTATGTGGCATATTTCGGTCTCGCTACTTATTATTAGTGTTATACATTACATTGAGTCTAACTCGAGTAATTCCCTTTGTTCCTTTTTATTTTGTATAGCATGAGATCTAAATGGTGAGATTAAAAAATATTTTATTTTGATTAGTGATAAAGTAATTTTTTTACACCAAAATAAATTTATTCAATATCTCACATAGTATTTATGGATAATTGAGACGCTTTAAGTAGTCGGCCCATAAATGAATCGAGTGTCTGAATTTGATGGTTGGGCCATATATCTGGCAAGTAGTAGCTTGTCGTAAAAGTAGTCATCCAAGATGGTGATTGTATCAACTCCAACACTGTTGCCATCCATCCATTATACCATCCAAAGCTCTATTATAGATGGTATCACTCCAAACATAATAGACACCATCCGACCTTATTCTGAATGGTACCATCTCATTCATTATAGACACCATCCAACCTATAAGTGAATGATGGCATCCAAGATCATGGATACCATCCAAACTCTATGATGGATGGTATCAGCCCAAACATCATGGATATCATCACACTCCTAATAGATGGTACTATCCCAAATATAATGTACATCATCCAAATTCAAAATGGATGATGTCATCCAATAAGGATACTATATATCCAACTCCGAAAGGATCGTGACCACTCACATCATGGACACTATCCCAACTTTTAAACTGGATTCCTATTTAACGCCGTAAGTTTTTAAAATTTCCGCTCTAAATTAACCTAACAGACAAAATTACCCCTAATTCTTCAAACCCTTTTTCCCAGCATCGACACCCTAATCCCCCAAATCAGTCTCGCCGCCAGTCGCCCTGGATGACCGCCGCCGCAGTACGCCCTCCCGTCGCAGCAAGCCACCATTCACCCCCAAATCAATCTCGCCCTCCCGTTGCAGCCAAGGTGCCGTTCTCCCTGGATGACCGTCGCCCAACTCCCCCGTCGCAGCCAAGCCGTCGTTCGCCCTGGAAGTCTGAGTTCAATCGTTGCGGTTGCAGCGGAGCGAAGGTGAGGAGGAAGAAGGAAGTGCGCTCGTCGACAGAGGGGAAAGAGGAAAATCACCGATTGAGAGTTGAGACAGATCATCCAGATCGACGTTGAGACATATCTAGGAAGACTGATCGGCGCCGAGGAGACTCCCAGCCGCCGTCGAAATTGTTATGGGGATTGGAGCGACGACGGCCAGTTACCCAGCAGCGGCGACGGCGACCAGTTATCCAGCAACATCGGCGAAAGCGTTAAACCTAGGGCGAAATAATTTTAGGGATTGGAAAATTTTTAAGGGCGAAAAGGTCAAATTACCAAATTAGGGCGATCAATTTTAAAAAATTTAGGGCGTCAATTAGTACCTCTCCTTTTAAATGGATAGTGTCCTTCATGTTATGGTATTTCGAAAAGGACTAATCGTAAGCAACTTCTTGGAAAGGAGGAGTGGGTGGAGGATAAGAAGAAATTGGCGCCGGTTTGTATACTGTTCTATTTATTATTTTATTGGGTTCTATATTTTCAATTATGTTTGGTGGACCTTCGTTTGAAAAATATTCATAGACTGATGCATGCTTCCTGGTCATTTTCCCAGGCTAAATAATTGTAGTTTGTTCTTCGTAAGATATTGTATTTCCACTTGTGGCTATTACTTTACACACACGTCTAGATAAGATTCATCGTAATTTCCCTCATAAGATATGAACCTTATTGAAGTGTATACTAAGAATGCATCCCTTTATTTCACTAAACATTACTTGCTTGCACATATAATTCTACAAAAATCCTATACCTGCTTTGAAGTCGAGAGTAGTAGTCGACGTTACAATGACCCTAACTCAAATCATTCATCTTGTAGAGGCTTATGATGCTATATATGAACTCAGTTAAGTGGTAGCAAATTCCTCATTTGAGAAATATCATTTTGCTATCATGTTATAATGAATTCACTTTGATTTGATATATTTTGGGGAGAAATGTGAATAGAGTAATTTGATATCATGTTATAATGATGGTAAAAAATATATGCTACTATTTTTATTTATAAAATATATAATTTACACATATTTACTTGCTCATAATATAATATATTTATCACATTTTTCAATAACTTTTCCCTCATTTTCTTCCTAACAACATTTTCTCCTACAATTTTCCTCCAAAATTTTCCTATCCTTCAAACTTTCCTTCTCATCCTGATCCAACCCAATTATAAACAAATCCTAAGATTCTAAAAAAATTGAGTGGGTTTCGAATTGGTATTTTCAACACAATAGTATATGGATCGGGTGATTAAAATGACAAAACCTAAACCACCCGAGTCATGTACACCGGTACCTGCTCCACTTTTTTTTTATGAGTAACCTGTTTACCTGCACCACCTTGATTTTGCAATACACAAGCAAAAATTATTTTTTTCAAGCGAGGTAGCCAAATAATGGTGGATAACATTGGACGTACCGATTGATTTTCACCTGCATATAAAATACAGAAATACGAATTCTTGTTGGTCTAGGTATTTTTCCTCAGAACGATCAGCTCCTCCTCGTAGTGGCAGGTTATAAAATCACACAAGCATATTACCATACTGGGGGCTTGACCATACTAAATGACATTTCTACTCGGCCAGATAACAATCAATGATCAAAATTGCGATCAACTTGCATCTGTCGGCAGCTTCTTTCATTTCCTATGGCACTTTGTTTTAGGAACTGTTCCTTGCTGGCCTTTTCAACGTTCGATTTTATTGTCCATCAAAACTGTATATCTTGGCAGAGTATTAGGCCTAAACTCGAGATTTGTGGAGTAGGAAGAACCCTCCTATCTCTATATATGTGTCCTAGGATTGGCCAATAATCAACTCAAAAACACGTGACAATCATCACATCTGGGATACTTCTCTAACACTCATTTGGAGGAAAATAAAGAGATAATTACTATCGCCTTACCTGGTAATCTCGTTAAGGGTGCGTTTGGATAAGTGTATTTTAAATGTAAGGTATTTGAAATACTAGCATTTGAAATGGATGTATTTGAAGTATTAGCATTTGAAATACATGTAATTCAAATTCATTGTTTGGATACTCATTTGTAATTTGTTTGTATTTTTGTATTTATGATTTTCAATTTCAATTTTTAATTTTCTGGTCACTTACTACAAATTTTGGTAAATTACAGTTTGGTACCCAAAATTATTTTTTCTTACAATTTAGTACCTAAACTTCTAAAATTTTACAAAAAGGTCCTGAAATTTTGATGGTAAAATTACATTTTGGTACCTTTATATGTTTTGCCTCACTATAGTACCTAAACTTTTCATATTTTACAAATAGGTCCATTCTTTTGTTAGGAGGTATTTCAAATCACTAGTTGTTGAAATGTATTTGAAGTTGACAAAAAATACACTAGACATGTATTTGGAAATCACCCCATGAATTTGACACAAATCCAAATACCAAATGTAATTAATATCCAAACACATGATTTGGTATTTGAAAATCCAAATCACAAATACCAAATCCAAATCCTAGTATCCAAACGCACCCTAAGCAAATTCTTCGTCAGTCAGGACCTGGCTCAAGCAAAGCGACTTCAAGGTTTCCGGATGTGCCAAAAGGTTTTCTAGCAGGGTATGTTGGAGAGATGCAGAAGAACTGATTCGAAGTTCCAGTCTCCTACTTAAGTCGGCCTTCATTTCAAAATTTATGGAATGTGGTTGAACAAGAGTTCGGCTTTGATCATCCAATGGGTGGC